TACTAGTCCGAGTTTGTTTGACCAACATGGTTTGTGTTTGTCTAACTTTTTTTTTTTAAAAAAATATTAGTATAAGTTGAGCTTCTTTAGCTTAAAGTGATTAAAAATAAATAGTGTTTTTAATGGTTAGCATTTCATTTTAATTAAAATTTAAAGCTACTTTTCCTCAATTTTTTCTTCTCAATTACCAATCAATAAAAAATCTATACAAAACAAGACATGCTAGCATGACCTCGCTCTTGTTAGATGATTAGTTGCGTAATATGTCCGTTAACCATTATCTAACCAATTAATCTTAACTTCCATTATAATTAATGTCTCAATTTGCGTTTCTTGAAATTATCTCGATTTGCATTATTAGAATGACTTGTTTAAGATTTTGAGTCATTTTAGCCCTTAAACATCCAATTTGAGGCCAAAGTTGGAAAAAGATTTAGAAATGTCTCGATTTGTGTGTTCGAAACTCTATCTCAATTTATGCACTGAGAAAATAGCTTAGTTTGATCCTAAAACTCTAAAAGATCCAAATTGAGGTAAAATTGGGCAAAAAAAAAAAAAAAAAACTATAAATGTCTCAATTTGTGTGCTTCAGGGTGAAAGGGTAAAGGATTGGAGTTTTTCGTCCTTTAGGGTTCATGCATCAACTTTTTGGTGGTTGAATCGGCGACGAATTGCTGTTGTTGTTTCGGCGGTGCGTTGTGCTGGGTGCGGTTCGCAGGGTGGGTGCGTTTCATAAGGTGGGTGCGGTGGCTTGGGTGAAGTCCGGTGGGTGGTTCGCTGGGTGGGTGGGTTTGGAGGAGGGAAGAGTTGGTGGTGCGTGGGTGGTTTTGCAGGAGGGAGGTTTTATTTATTTATTTATTTTTTAACAAAAGTTAACGTTGTTAACTTTAGGATTAGTTGGGGGTTACATCGTAGACACTAAAGGTACCTTGGGGTTACAGTGTGGAATTTTAAAAATGGGTGGACACAGTTTAGAAAAGTGAATACCTCAGGGGTACTAAGTACAAAAACCCTTATTTTTTTTTTCAATTTTTATGTTCATAAAATTTATCAATTATTGTTAGGGGTTCGTGTTGATTCTAAAGATTCAATTTGAAGTTCACATTGACAATTAATTACCATAAACATCTTGATTTGCATGCCTTGGTTTGCATGTTGAAAAAATGGACTAGTTAGGTTTTGAGGGTTATTTAAACCTTTAAGATACTATTTTGAGGTCACATTTAGCTAAAAAAAATTATAGGACGAGTGTTTATGATTATAGTGAGCTGTATATAATTGATTGATTGTCGAAGTATTTGGGGAAACATCCCACATTAGCACTTTTTTTTTCCCCAAATCCCTACATGTTTAAAAGGTACACGTAATTTTCCTTTTTTTTTAAAAAAAAATAAATTGGACAAGTAATTCATTTTTTAAACAAAATTAAAATGTACACGTAAATTTCCTTTTAAAAAAAAAATTGGGCAAGTAATTCACTTTTTTAAACAACATTGCGAAAATGGATAGTAAACCCGCCCCAAACCGCATATACGGGTAATTAATACTACAGTAAAAGGATATTGCGAGTATCGACACTTTTAATTTCACAAAAGTTTCCCCAAAATATTAGGGTTCTTATTTTCGCCAGTTGATTCTCCCATTGAAGAGGCAATCTGCTCGTCCACTGAGGTCATCAATTTTATCTGAATGGCTCCTAAGCCAATTAATCCAAAGGTTAGTCCGAAAATTCTAGAAAAATCGAGTAAAAACGATAAAAAATTGAAGGACTTTGATCCTAATTCAATTTGTGAAAACAGTAGAATTTCTATCAATCTTGAAATTGATGTCGATTTTTTCAAGAAGTATATGTGTTATCTCCTAAGAAGTATTCGGAGGGGGTACTAAGAGCAAGTTTAGCCAAAAAATCCAAGAGAAATGGAACAAATATTTAAAGTCGATTTTTTCAAGAAGTATATTAGTCTTTTGAACAAAATTAGATGATGAAAAAAAAAATAGAGAGAGCCAAACAAAAATCTCTCATTGTGATATAAATTAGTTAATAAAACATAAAACGTTACCTGAAACAAATTATATTAAAATAAATTTTTAAATTAACAAATTATATAAAATATGGTATATTATATTGCATATCATATAATAACTAATACTACCTCCGTTAAACGTTATGTCCAACTTTGGAATAACCTTTGGATAATAATAGAACATTAATTATGATTGAGATTGATGTTGATTTTTTCAAGAATTACATTGCTCTTATTAATTTCTTAAGGTATGTTGTTTTAAATAATGGTTGAAAGTTTTGTTTAGATAGAATATTATCCGAATTTAGATATGGGGAATCATGTGATTATAGTGAATTGTTTGTGATAGTTGATGTATTTATTGGGGAAATTACTTATAAGCCAAACTAATATTAACTTGCAACATTGCTAAAAAAATGGTGATATTGTTTAATATTTCTGTAAGTATACTAATTTTAATTGTGTAAATAATGATTTGCTTGGGTATCATATTTTTCCGACATAATTCAGTTTTGAGATGTTGAAAAGTTGTATTTTGGATTTTACAAACGATCAATAACCTATGAAAAAAAAACCCGAATATTCGTTTAAGAAATTATGTGTATTTTTCTATGAACCGACTCGTTTTGATGAAATATTATGCCAATTTGTTCCTATTATCAAGAATTCATCTAATTCCATTTTAATAGTAGATTATTAAAGAGGGAAACAATGTTAAAATTGAAGATATATTCGCCAAACTTGTTAAAGTCTTTTGAGATAAATTTAGATGATTAAAAAGAAAAAAGCCAAACAAAAATCTTTTATTGCAGTATAAATTAGTTAATAAAATATAAAACGTTGCATAAAACAAATTATATTAAAATAAATTTATAATTAACAAATTATATAAAAATATGTGTATATATTGTATATCATATTGCATATCGTATAATAACTAATACTAGCTTCTTTAAATGTTACGTGCAACTTTGTAATAACCCATTTTTTATAATTATTGTGCATGATCATATTTGGTTAATTTTTCATTACTGGAACTATTTTATAAACAATTTCATCACATCTTGTAGTTCACTGAAGAAAACGCATAGTTTTTTTTTTTTTAAAACAATTTTTTATTTATTTTCATAGACTTCTTTATTATTTACCTAATCTCATATACAACTATTTAGAATGTTAAAATTGAACTGTTCAGGAACTTTGTTGTACCTACTATTATAGTCAATTAAATTCCATTTCGAAAAGTTCAATTTGATAGGAATTTGAAAATCGTCAGTATACTACCAATAATTTTCTACACATACAACAAGTTTATACAAATTGGGCTTAAATATCAAAAGATTAAGCTCAGTTTTTTTTTTAGGAAAAACATTTACAATCATAAAATATCCATTAGAGTAGTCATGAGGTTCTCCACACCTAAATTTAGAATATTTTCTATATAGACAACGTTTCCATCATCCGTTAGCCGCAATCTCAAAAAATAAACAACATCCATATATCTCTTGCAAAAATCAACTTTAATTTTAAGAATAATTGAAATACTATATTATTAAAAATTGAATCAGTGTCAAATTCTATATTATGTTCAGATTTATAAGGTGTTTCAAGATTTTTCTGACAAAGATCAACTAATCTAGGTTTAGGTGCCATACCGTAGAATATTGAAAATCTCACGAGCAAATTGTTAGCAGCACATGCAGATTCGAGAAGCTTTGAGAGAGCAATGCAAATTCTTAGCAGTAAAAGAAGAATCGATTAGTTTTGAAGACTGAAATGAGACTGAAACAGTGGAAGAACTAAGGTAGTGAGCTAGTGGAAGAACTTAGGTGGTGGAAGGAGAAAGATCAAAATTTTGGACGATAGAAAAAGGGTTTTCTTTTTTGATGAATGAAAAAAGTTTCTTAGTTTGGTTTTTTTTTTTTTTACACAATTACTTTGGTTTTTTTTTTCTATTTTAATTTTATTCAAAAACTAAAAACAAAAAATATAATAGTAAGGCATTTTGTCATTAAAAATTTGTTTTTTTTTTTTTTAAAAAAAACACAATGTCATTTACAAAAATGAATTACAATTTCATCCCATTAGTTAAGATTGAAGTATCTTGTTAATAAGATAATTTGGTATAAACATATATCAGTAATATCGGCTAGAATATATAAATGGGTGTCTTGTTCTCCGGCTTACTTAAATAAAGAAGTTGAAAAATGAAAATTAACAAAGTTTTGACTGTGGGATTTGTAGAGTTAAATTTGAACATTTAGTGATTATATGTGTATCTAAGAAAGGATAAAGAATTGGCCTTTTTAAATACTTGCTCCACTTTTTTTTCCGGCCATATTTAAATTTTGGCTCCACTTTTTTTTTTTTTTTTTTTTTTTTTCGGCCGTTTTTAAATACAATATTTAATTAATTTCTCCCAATAAGTGAACCCAACAATAATAATTCCATATGCTCTCTCTTTCAATTTTCTCCTCTACTTTTGGTTTTTTTACAATTTTTTATTCTTCCACCAATCCTACTACCTTCATATTTTATTACTTTTTCCAATTTCTCCTAAAACACCGCGCATGGAGAAATAGAGCAAGTATTTAAAAACGGAAGAAGTAGCAGACTAGCATGTAGCACTTTTGGGATGCAATTTGCAATTTTTTTTAAAAAAAAATACGTAGTAGCTAGAATTTGCAAAATACATACAAGTAATTCAAATAACTAAAATTTCCAAATTAAAAAAAATAAAAAATAAAATAGAGGGAGTAATAAAAGTTGATACTCCCTCCGTTCTTAAATACTTGCTCCATTTCTATTTTTTACCCTATTCATTCATCCTACTTTGACTAATGTTTATGATTTACACATAAGAAAAAATATTGGAATTGTCTCAATAAATAAATTAACTTTCAATTGTTAGAATTTATACTTATTGATAATTAAAAATATTATTAATAAAAATTAACATCGACATTCGTGTCCAAGAGAAATGGAACAAGTATTTAAAATCGGAGGGGGTACTAAGAGCAAGTTTAGCCCCAAGTCTTAAGACTTGGGGTGACATCATCATTTTGAGTCTTAAGATTTATACTTAAGATTTTTCTCATTTTTCTTCAAAAATCTCAAGCAAGTCTCAAGTTGAGTCTTGAAATTTCAAGACTCAACTTAGAGCAAAGCCAATGGTTGCCCAAATCAATAGTGGTCATCAACTTTTTTTTATTAATATCTCTCTCTTCCATCTCATCTATGCCCAATTACCATGCCCAATTATGCCCACATATACCCATTGGTTGCCCTCTAATTTTTTATGATCATAATATTCATCACTAACTAAGAAAATAATAATAAAAAAATATACTCCACTCATACCATGACAAGTGGCACACACATATTGTTTGCCCACCCTTTGCCAATGGTCATGGCCATGACCTGGTCATTAGATTTCTCTCTCCTAAAGTATCATCTTTTGAATTTTTAAATATTTTTTTTCTTTCTCTTTCTTGATGCCCACCTTAAATGGACAACCATTGACTTTGCTCTTAAGACTTGAGATTGGGACCCACTTCACCCACTTCACTTTTTTTTAACACTTTTCTACATATAATATGTCAAATATTTAAGTTTTAGGGCTAAAGTGATAAATTTGTGCAAGTCTTAGTGAGTCTTAACAAGAATTTAATGACATCATTTTCAATGGGAACCACAAAAAATGATATCACATCCAAGTCTTAAGATTTGGGACTAAACTTGCTCTAAACCAGTGTGAATATTCTTGTTGTAGAAAAACATCACTCAAAGTCCAAATGAAAACAAAGTAATCTTGTCTCTCCGTCAATTCTCCTCTCCAAATTCCAAAAAGCCACCTCCTTATTATTCCTAATAAACACCATTCTCTTTCTCAACTCTTTACCAATCATGCCATTACTCCTCACTCAAATAAAATCCCCCTCATCATCATCATGCTCACACTCACCCCACCAAACTCCTCCTCCCCCTCCCTCCACCTCCTCTCCCTCCTCCTCAAATGCGCCCATCTCATCTCCGCCAACAACACCGCCTCCGCCACCGATCTCCTCCCCGAAATCTTCCACCTCTCCTCCCCTTTCGCCGCCTCTCCCGCCGACCGTATCGCGGCATTCTTCGCTCATTCCCTCCACTCTCGTCTCCTCCTCCATTTTCTCTCTGCTACACCTCACCCCCTTATCAAATCCATCACTTTGTCTTCCCAACTTAAATCCTTTCATTCCGCTTTACAAACGTTTAACTCTCTCGCACCCTTTGTGAAATTCTCCCATTTTACCGCTAATCAAGCCATCTTTGAGTCCGTTCATGGATACGATCGAGTACACATTATTGATCTTGATGTTATGCAGGGTCTTCAATGGCCTGGATTGTTCCACATCCTAGCCTCTCGTTCTAAGAAGGTTAGCTCCGTAAGACTCACCGGGTTTGGTCCTTCTTCGGAGTTGCTCAATCAGACTGGCTCTCGCCTCGCTGAGTTCGCCGCCTCGCTCGGGTTGCCCTTTAAGTTTAACCCAATTGAGGGTAAGTTCGGGGACATGTCTGAGCTAGAGTTGACCCGAATTGATTTGAGAGCGAACGAGGCTACGGTGGTGCATTGTATGCATCATAATTTGTATGATATGATTGGGTCTAATTTTGGAATGTTGAGGGTATTGAGTATAGTAAAGCCTAAGTTGGTTACAATGGTCACTCAAAACATTGAAATTTTCGAAACGGGGTCGTTTTTGGAGAGGTTTATAGAAACGTTGCATTATTATTCGGCTATGTTTGATGCCTTAGGTGAGGGATTGAGTAGAGACAATGTATTACGTCATCAAGTGGAGCAACAACTATTTGGGAGCGAGATAAGGAACATTCTAGCGTGTGATGATGTAGGTGGGGTGAGTGTAAGCCGGTGGGGGGACGAGCTTAGTCGTTTCGGGTTTGAGCCAGTGTCGTTGTCTGGTAGCCCGGCTGCACAAGCGAGTTTGTTGTTAGAGATGTTTCCGTGGAAGGGGTACACATTGATGGAGGAAAATGGGTGTTTAAGGTTAGGGTGGAAGGGTATGCCTTTGCTTACTGCATCAGCTTGGCAGCCTTCTAATTATAGTTGTGTTACTAATAATAGTAATATCATGAGGAATTAGAGTATGGTTATATTTTCATATTACAAAGTTTGATTGGAATGATGCATTATTGGATCGGATGAATATTGGGTGATAGAGAAGAAGTACATAAAGACATAAAGTTAATAATGATCAAAAGTTTGTGTAAATGTTTCGACAATAATTGAAGGGTGAAGTAAAGGAAACGTACATGTTACTTTTTGAGAAATTGGATTCTTTTTTTGTACTCCTATTAAAAAAGTTTGTGATCAAAAGTTGTAACACTTTTCAAGCTTGGTTTGAATTTAATTGTATTTTCTTCATATGAGAAGCATCTTGGAGATTAATATTCAACGGTAAAATAGTGATTTTACAAACTCACGTTTTTTTCTTTGTTGGTAACTTATGTATCATACATTCACTCTCAATAGTTATATATCGGGGCTAACTAGACCTTGTTAGCTCATTGGTCCACATTCACCACAAACTCGAGTTTAACTGTTTTCTTTTTTCTCAGCTCAAAACATAGGGGGGCCAATTTGGCTACTTCTATAGTTCTATATGTATATGACTCTAGAAGAATTGGTATGGTCACACACTTAGACTAATTCTAGTAATCATTGTTTGTTTGTAATAAGGCCACATTATTGATTCTTCCAAATAGTGTAAATTACACATTTTGTGAACAATTTCTGATTTAGCTGTCTGCCATTATTGTGATGTTCTTATTTGAGATTCTTTCTCCTTCTTTACAATAGTTGTAATCTAGGAAAACCCAAATGAAACATGCTTTTTATTTGGATATGATTATCTGTACGATTGAATTGTATAATTTGTATTGTTTGAATGTGTACATGCATAGTGGGAAACTGGGAATGTGGGGGTGTACTTGTACTGTCATTTAATAATGAAGATTGAAGACTACAAATCTATCTACATTCTACAACATATAGTGATTTTTGTTTCAAGGGTATTTCATGTTTTTACTCTTAGCCATTTTTATCTAGATTAGAACTGGTGAATCTTGATCTAACTTGAAATCGACCCAATAAACTTATTTTCGCTGTGTCAAAATTGTTGTACATATGCATGTTGATGTTAAATCCAAATGTGGAATAACAAAGTTTGTTTATAAAAGGCATCATCATTAGTACATGACCCGAATTTGATCCAGCTAATGTGATAATCGACCTATAATTTACTTGTTATTTGAAAATCGTACATTTGTATGATCGGATGTGGCTTTCAAAATGGTGGAACTTCTCCATCTACCACCACCAAAGTATATGCTTTTAATATGGACCATTTTTGCCTTACTTGGCTTCTTTTGCTATGCATCTATTTGGATGCTTGTTGGATGATAGCGTAGTAGCAACATTCCTTAGCTTAAGTTAAGGAGGGGTACTTTATCATATTTCTCAAATGAATACTCTTTAAATACTTTATTGGAGTATCATTTATCTTCCAAAATTTCATATTTCATGCAAATTCATTTAAGAAAACAAAAGCTTTTCATAAGGATATGTATTGTGTTTCCTCTAATAGAAATCATATGAGGTTATATGAACTGAACTTAATTCATGCCGATATTTTCTTTTTCCATGCTAAAGAAAACCAAGTCGTATATTAAATAAATTTCCGAAAAAGAAAAAATAATGCAATAAGATTTTGGATGACAAGCAAATCCTGCTACATCACATCTAGTCCGTAGTCATGTAAGGCCCTGTTCTCTTCACCTTAAAAAAAAATAATATTAAGTAAAAATAATTTCAGTTCAGTAAAAATAAGTTCAGTTCAGTAAAATTAATTTCAGTTCAGTAAAAATAATTTCAGTTCAGTATAAATAAGTTCAGTTCAATAAAATTCAGTTTTCTTAAAGAAGAAATATAATAGAAAATCAGTAAAAATAATTTCAGTTCAGTAAAAATAATTTAAGTTCAGTAAAAATAATTTAAGTTCAGTAAAATTAAGTTTAGTTCAGTAAAAATAAGTTCAGTTTAGTAAAAATAATTTAAGTTCAGCAAAATTAAGGTGAATCAAACAGGGCCTAAGTGCCGAGTGTTGAGATTATTGTCTTACTGAATCTATTGTTACTTGTGTGGCTCCGTTATATGGTTTTATTATTTGAATTATAAATGATAAATTTGCAAATCGTGTGGACAACAAAAACAAATAATTTTGAAAGCTAAAAACTTCTTTATTCAAATTTCAAACTAATTAAAATAAAATTTAGGAAAATTTGTCAAAAATAATACAACCTTTGACCCGTTCTTTTTAAATAATACAACTTTTGGATTGTATCTGAATATTACAACCTTTGGAGGGTCTTAATTTTAAACAAGATAAAAACTTGTAACTTGTTAAACCGGTTGCCCTTGACATATGTCTTCGAGTAATTGGTCTAAATAATATGTTTTTTAAAACAATAAAAATAATTAATTTTAGAAATTTAATTTTTGATTAACTTCTAATTAAGTAATTGTGATTTATTTTTGGAAAATTTTTAAATTACCACCCAAAAATGTAACCATTTTCAAACTAACCACCAATTTAATTTTTTATTTTAAATTATTACCCCTTAAAATAATTAAATGCTCATATTACCACCCTTTTTTAAAATTTTTAAAATCCGATAAATTTTCCGTCTGTGGGCCCCACCTAACGCTTATTTTGAACATTTTGACTGATTTTTTCCCCGATTTTTCTCTTTAAAAACGCTCTCCTTACTTCAATTCACATTATTCACTTTGAAATTTGGTAGAATTTGGTGAAGGAAATGTAAATTAAAGTATAGAGAGCGTTTTTAAATAGAAAAACCGGGGAAAAAAATCAGTGAAAAGGGTCAAAATAAGCGTTAGATAGGGCCCACAGACGAAAAATTCACCAGAGTTTAGCCTATTTTAGGATGCCCATCCGGTTCACCGGAGCTTAGCCTATTTTTAGGTGTGCTACTCGAGTCGGATCCGGATGTAGTCGGAGCTAAGCTCCGGTGAACCGGGTGGGCATCCTAAAGTAATTAAGAAACCAAAAGCTTTTCTTAAGGGTGTGTTTCCTCTACTTGAAATCTTATGAGCTTATTATGAACTGAACTTAACTCATGTCGATATTTTCTTTTTTCATGCCAAAGTCTTTAAAGAAGTATTTTAGATGGATTTCCGAAAAATAAAAAATAATGCAATAAGATTTTGGATGACAAACATATCCTGCTACATCACATCTAGTCAGTAGTCTTGTAAGAGCTGAGTGTTGAGGAGATTATTGCCTTTCTGAATCTAGTGTCACTTCAGACCTTCAGTGGCTTCATTATACAATGCTATTATTTGATTATTGAATCATGCGGACAACAAAAACAAATTTTAAAAGGTAAACATCTGTAAGCAATAATGAAAATTTGTGATAAATCACTTCCAACTCCCAAAATTCACAACTTTACAACCCAAAATTATAATATAAAAATAAAATCACCACCATTAAATAACCAAGTAATAATTACATAACCAAAAACTGCTTCTTGGTGGACATTAAACTAAAACTTAACAGCCACCAATTTGAAGACTTGAGTTATATAAACAACTTACTGCAAAATAATATAAATTTATCAAGCTTGAATAAATAAAGCAAGAATTCAATCAGATAATAATAAGGCTAAAGTTAATATCTTTTCCCTAGGATCACACCAAGAACTATGGACACCAATGCAACTCCCAGGATAAACTTGATGTTCATGCTGGAAGAAGCTTCGGCTGTTGGAGTCTGAACCACTGAGGATGATGGTGAGGTTTGTGCAGACAATTTTTCTGATTTCTTGCTCTTACGCTTTGTTGGGCTAGAAATCATTGATCCGATATCTCTAGACCTCACTTCTGTTTCACCCTCTCCTTTGGTATCAGCAATGCTTTCGTCAACCTGTAAATAATAAAGGCAGATCACTCAACATATGCTACTTTGTACTCATTTACTGCAATCTTCATACATTACAGTCAAGGCAAAATAAAGTTAACTGACTAATGTTAGCTTTGATTTATTATTGCAAAGACAAAAAAAAATACTTGCAGTAGCTTCTTTTGGGTAAAAGGTAAGATGACGAGGCCAATGTGTGTGAGAAGTAGGAAGGGTACAAAGGTACGACGTAGACACCCCAGAAGGGTATGATCCAGGTGACCTGATATGACCATCAGGCTCTTTTTACCAGGGTCGTCCCCTCATTACCTTGATACGTTGATAGTAATCAGCATTTCTAATTATGATTATCACCGAACAAAGTTTACTATTACAACATCAATCAAGTTGGTAAAATTATCTTAATAATGAATGCAAGCAAAATTTCAACCCTTTCCATAAGATTCTTTTAGAGAGAGGGGTGGGGGGTTGTATTTACAGCTTCAAATAGTAGGGGAAAAAAGACTGACCTTTGGTTTAGATGCTTCTACAACCTTCTGGAGTTTTTGCTCAACTTCCTCAATTTTCTTTCCAAGAAGCATGATTTCTTTGTTTTTGGCATCAAGCTCTTCAGACGTACGACTCTTGGCAGCTTCCAATTCAGAGACCTTTGCTGAACTCTCCTCTTTCTGTTTGACCAGCAAAGCAAATAAACATATATAAGCCAAATTTATGACATTTAAGTCTGAAATGGTTGTCATAACAGCAAAATAATAAGAGGAAATGAAGCAGATTGATAACTAACCAGCTTAGTTAAATTGGCCTCTGCAAGCTGCAGCTCTTCGTTTAGTTTCAAAACCTTTTCATTCAATATATCTCGATCTTGGAGTTTTTGCACATGATCTTCCAACTGAGAAGTCAAATCAACCTCTCTTGTGGTAGCAGATGTTTGGAGACTTTTAACCTACAAAAAATACGAAATTATTTGTATTTTCTAAAATAAGCAAATAGATTTAATTCAGGTTCAAAATTCATTTAACACGAACCTCTTCTTTCAATTGAGCCTCGGTTGCCTGATATTGCTCTTCAAGTTCCTTCAACCTTGCTTGCAGGGCAGATTTCTCAGTTATTTCAACCTTAAGATTATCAATCTCGGCCTTTGAAGCATCTTCTTTTCCTCTATTTTCTTTAAGCTGCTCTTCTAGTTGGACCACAATAGCTTGATGTTCTTTAATGGTTTCATGAAGCTGGCTGCTCTCCTTTAAAATTGCAGATATCTGTAGGAGGTAATTTATTATTACATAATGTTGAATAAAAGAACTAGAAAATAAAACATAACATGAAGTTTTTTAAGGTACAAACCTCAGACTGAAGCCGTTCCTTTTCAGAAGTTAGCTCCTGGCGTAACTCCTCATTCGCCTTCTCTGATAAGAAACATTTTGCAGCAATATCTTCCTTCTCATCACGACCATGTGATAATTTAGCTTGGAGATCACTTTGTTCAGTCTCAGCCAAAGCCAGATCCTGAGTGAGTTTCATATTGGCCTCAGCCAAGGCCTCATTACGCGTCTCAATTTGCCCCAACTGAACCTGCTGTTCATCAGCCAATTTTTCCTGCTCCTGTAATTTCAAAAGCATAGCTTCAACTTCCAGTTTTCGAGATTCAGCAATCCCTGAAACCTCAAGGGCCTCTTCCTGGTACTTCTTCAACTCCTCTTCGAGAGAACTTAACTTTTCATTTAACTCCTTGATCTCCAACTCCCTTTGAGCTAACGTCTCAACTGCAACCTGCAGCTGTTCAATCTCAGTTTTTCTTGATTCAGCGATACCAGAGGCTTCACGAGCTGAATCCTGGTGTACTATTACTTGCCCTTCAAGAGAAATAACCTTTTCATTCAATTCCTTCACTTCCATTTCCTTTTGTCCTAATTTTTCAGTCAAGCCTTCAAGTTCAACTTTCCTAGACTCAACAATCCCTGAAACCTCTAAAGCCTCTTCCTGGTGTTTCTTCAGCTGGTCTTCAAGAGAGCTTATCTTTTCGTTCAAATCCTTGATCTCTAACTCTTTTTGAGCCAATGCCTCAACTGATCCTTGCAACTGTTCAATTTTAGATTTTCTTGATTCAGCGATCCCAGAAGCTTCAAGAGCTGCTTCTTTATGTACTGTCAGCTGCTCTTCAAGTGAAGTAAGCTTTTCATTCAACTCCTTCATTTCAATCTCCTTCTGACTTAATTTTTCAACCAGGTCTTCAATTTGAACTTTTCTAGAATCAGCGATCCCAGATACTTGACCAGCCTCTTCTTCATAAACCTTTACTTGGCCTTCAATGGAAGCAAGTTTCTCCTTCAATTCTGTAACTTCAAGCTCTTTCTGAGTTAATTTTTCAGCCATCTCTCTAATTTCAACTTTGCTTGATTCAGCAATTCCCTCTGCTTCATGAGCCTCCTCTTCGTACTTTTTAACTTGGCCTTCAAGAGCTACAAGTTTTTCACTGAGTTCTTTGATTTCGGCCTCTTTAACAGCTAATGTAGCAACAGTCTCCTTTAACTGTTCAATTTCTGCCTTTCTAGACTCGGCTATCCCAGATGCTTCACGAGCCTCCTCCTCGTATGCTTTCACTTGGCTTTCAAGGGCACTCAACCTTGCACCCAACTCCTCGACTTCCTTTTCCTTCTCAGCTAGTTTACCACTTGTTTCCTTCAACTGTTCCTCAGCCTGTGAATGACGAGCTTCAGCAGCAGAGTGCTGCTCAAAAGATCTTGAGTGTTGCTCAGTTAACTCAGTGATGGTATTCATGTGAGAGGCAAGTTGAAGAGAAGTGGCTTCTTTTTCTGCATCAGCCGAATTAAGCAATTCCTGAAGCTCATCAACCTTGTTCTTCAGCTGCGAGTTTGTTTCCACCAAAAGTTCCTTCTCTGAAAGAGATTGTGCCACTTTACCCTCAGCTTCCTCAATCATCTTTTTAAGCTCTTCATTAGAGCCTTCTAAGGAAACTACCTTAGCAGCACTCTGATGCAATTCTTCTGTTAGAGATGCAGCCTTCAGAGCTGCTTCACCAACCTGTTCTTCATAACTTTGTACCTTGTCTTCAAGAATTTTAAGTTTCTCAGACAATGAGTTAGCCTCAGACTCCTTTTCGCTGATATTTGCCATTGTCTCTTGCATTTTTACCTCAAAGTCCCTAGTAGAAGACTTGTGTAAAGATTCAAAATGCATTTTACTCGCAGTTGCTTCCTCTATCGCTCTCCCTTGCTCCTCCAATTGATTCTCAGCAGCTTTCAGCTTTTCCATAATTTCACCCTCCCTTAGTCCAGAACCCTTAAGATCATTTTCAATGCTTTCTAGTTTCTCCTGTGTAAGAGACAATTCACCACGCAATGATTCAAGCAAATTTTCAGCTTCCTGAAGCTTTTTAGTGGAATTTTCTAATGCTTCTTCTGAACTTTGTTTCTGCTCTTTCATTACATTCAAAGATTCCATCAGCCCTGCTTCCTTTTCACTTGCTGTTTGAAGTGCACTTTCAAGGTTCAACATTAAAGATCGGAACTTCTCAATTTCTCCACTGAGTTCAGATACCATGCCCGAATATTTTTTTGATTCAGCTTCAGCATCCCCACATTTTGACTCCAATGAACTTATATTCACTTCAAGCTCTTCAATTTTCTGCTTCTTTTCTTCCAGCAGTGATTCAAGGTCACCCATCTTTTTCTCAGCATCCTCAATTTTGGAGTGAGAAGATTTTACTGCATCTTCCAATTCTGCTGCACGAGATTGTAATTCTTGCTCCAACTCCTCGATTATCTTCTTTGAGTTCTCGGACTCAAGACTAAGACTTTCAAATGATTCTTTAATGCCAGAAAACTCTTTGTGCTTAGTTTCATGATCTTCCAAAGCATCTTGCAAAGACTTCAGCTTTTCATTGAAGTTATTTTCGGCCTCTACCATCTCCTCTTGCAATTTCTTGTGATACAGTTCAAGAGTTTCATACTTCTTCCCACTTTCTTGCAGCTTTTCTTCAGTCGATAAGGCCTCATTTTTTAAATTTGTATTCTGTGACTCAGAATCCTTTAATGCAGCAGCCACCCTTTCTAATTCAGTCTCAAGCTCGGTTATCTTCTCCTGTGCTTCAAGGACTTCTCTGCTAGATTCACTAACAGATGATTTGCTTTCTTCCACATTTACTTCAACATCCCGAGAACTATCTTTCACTTCCACAGGTTCTCTCTCGACCTTAATGAACTCTCCATCATCCAAAGAGCTTTCTTTTTCTTCTTTGTTCCCATTTTCCTGTGGCAAATCAAAAATTCAAGTGTTAGATATACAAAATAAAAAAAATAATAATAATAAATAAATAATGGTATTGCAGATACTTAAGCTGTATTTAACACGAATCTACCTGAATTGGCTCCGTAACACTAGCAAGCTTCTCCTTGACTTCCACCACTGGCACCTCTACATTCGTTTGAGTTTCTTCTTCCATTGATAATCACAATACTAGACCTCTAACCTGAGGTAGACAAATGTACAAGCTTAAAACCACAAATCGACTACTTCTACCTTATTGCATACAGGTCAACCCAAGCACTTGCACTGTTGCACTTGCACTACATGTAAAGAAGAGGCTACAAAATTCTAACAACAAAAAAAAAAAAAAAAAAAAAAAAAAAAAGTTGTTGTAAATTGCATTTTTTCACATTTTGAACATCAAGAAAGTAGCTTTCATGAGGTATCTTTTTTCTTATCATGGTACTAAAATATGCACAAAGACAGGTTGGTTGAACAGAGCCCTGGCGCAACAGATCTAAGGCTACATGCTCTAATAATTTAAATACCATATATCCAACTGGATTTCATAGTGCACTCACTTTTATATGCGGAAAAAAAAAATTATCTAATAGTGCACATATGAAGAAAATTTGATTTCTGCAGCAAGCTTACAGTATTGTTATACTTCCTACATATCCTTCTTGTAGACAGGTTTTGGTCAATAGTACCAGGCTACCAGCACTTCAAAAAAGTTTCTCTAGGACTAGCATCACTTTAATGTAATCTTATTCCGTATAATATGATATGAACTATCAATGGATTGCAATATAAATATCCATTTTATGATAACATTTCTAAAAAGAGATTATTTTCCTTATTGTGTTAGAATTCAGTGATTTCGTGAACACTTCGGGAGCAACATTGATTCAGACACATATCTTAAATTCAAAGCAATGATTAATTATCCAAACATATCACATGTGTGCAACATGAGACGGCTGTTTTAAGCATCAACTGATCAACGTGCATTTTGCAACAACAAACCAATTAGCAGATTCACAATCGATTTGAAACAATAATACGGACATTATACTTTAATCTAGGCAATCAAATAAGTACAATGCACATAAATAAATCTCTAAAGTAGGCCTACAATTTTTTTAAAGCTTTCTTGCTGTCCATCAGAAAGCTTAACAGAGTTTGTCTGATAATGAGAATAATTTTATGCTTAAACTATTATGTATTGCGTACTCTTGTTTGGTGAATGCACAAAAGACATAGGAGACAGGTAAGTAAGAAGGGCAACTCAAGAGTGTCTTATTTGAAAGTACCAGTATTAAAAAAATAGCAGCGAGTAATGCTGAATCTATATCTGTCTTCAGTGTATTAGATCTAAATCTGAATATCATAGTTTCTCATTTAATATATCTACATTACCTACCATGGTTAATTCCTAAATCTTAGGCCGAAATTTAACAGATTTGTTTTACCTACGAATTAATACTCAACTTCACCCCTGCTGTTAAGTTAAAACAAGATTATTGAAGACAAGCAGAATCTAAATCTATTTGTATTTTACAATGTGAAAAACGCAAAAATAGTGACCACCAAAAGCAGTAGATAGACAAGGTAAGGCAGTTCAAATCTAAAAAACGAAACTGCTTGTTAGTTGTGACCACCGACGATCAGTAAACTCTAGGAACAAAAGTAATCCATACATGACAATGACTCTTTTTCTAACTTATACTTCGTACATGTAAGAGAAAAAGCCAAAATCGAAGGTCTAAATCATAAAGCACAGGGGAAAAACATACACATTGATAGAACAACCTCCCAACTGAGTGTCTGAGTTACACCAGCTACTAAGAAGTTGGATAAAAATTAAACACAAGGCAACATGAGCAGAATTTAACCCTCTTTAAAATAACTCAAAAAAAGAAACACACTTTATGTTAGCAACACTAGTACTTAACATAGAGCTTCTTATGTTAGCTACCAAACCACTATACCAGTAACGTTTAAACGATGAGATATCAAATACTAAGCTAGTCTAAGGCCTTGTTCTTTTGAGCTTTTGGGCAGAGGAGAGTAGAGCAAATCAGATTTTGCAGAGAGCACATCAAAGCTAGACTTCCACACACTGCAGAATAGGAATGTGTACAATAAACCTCGTCAATTTGTTTAGGTACACTTGACTACTAGAGTGTACAATAGAGGTTGTTTCCAAAATCGACTAATGCTTAAAAATTATAATACTCCATAATAAAAATCCCAACTTTATTCGTGGACTAAAACTTACGTGACATCAACAACGATCGATTTCAAAACAAGGTACTCTAACCTAACATCAGAAGTACTAAAGTACCAACTATCTAACATTCTAACCCCTTACCACCAAAAGAACCTTAATTACTTGCATTGGTTCGAACTTAGTTATCACATTACTAGTCTTATCAAACGCGACAATTAAATTAAGACAGATATCGGAACAGTGATACATACATAATTACATAAAAACATAAAAAGAACAGAATCGTACAAAATAGGAAAAAGAAAACGATTGGTTTGGTAAGAGGGTCCAATCTCTCGACATACGAGTAATTCATAAATCTTAATCATCAATATCTTTAAAACGCGTGATCTTTCTTTTTCATTCACTAATATTTGTTTTTCTCTTCTTTTTACCATCATAATCAAACACATAATTTGCTTTAAACATTATAAATTCATATTTCAATCTTTATAAAAAGCATTCCAATAAACTTTTTTTTTTCTTTTTCCACCAAATTAAACTCAACTATTTTCAAATTTTTTAGCGTTTTTAGATAATTAAGAGCTAATTTAAGATAATCAATGTTAATAGACGAAAATTTCAAAATTTCAGGGATTCTAAAAAAAAACTAACAACTATTTCATATTGTACTGATCGATAAATTACAAGTGTTAAGCAGACAGATTAAAATAAATAAGCACATGAATGATCATGATTTCACAGTAAACAGACAGGTTATAAAAAAAAAATACATGATCATGATATAACAACAGTAGTATTTTTTGTATTCCCTTCGTCTCTAAAAGTTATTCCTGTTTGATAATAAAAACCCGAGAACTTTTAGAGACAGAGAGAATAGAACAAATAGTAATAAACGGAATCATAATTCTTAAAAAAAAAAAAAAGAGGGGAGAATTCTTGCCTGAGAAAAAAAAGAGTAGGACTAATATTGGGAATCAGAAATGGTGATGAAATTTGATAAAGAGGAGAGAGAAAGAAAGAGAGAGAGAGATTGAGGAGAGAGAAAGGAAAGAAGGTCAAATATAAGAGCAAAACAGAGTGGAAAGTGGGGACTTAAGAGAATGGGATTGGGACCCACTTTTTTGCTGATATGTGCATATTCGCCTGCCGTTTTCTTAGCTGTCTTTTTTTCTCTTTTCTTAGCGTTTCCTCCCACCGATTTATTGTTGATGTTATTTATTCTTTATTTTGCCGATTATTAGATTATACACACGAGAGTATGATTGACAGCTGAAAAGAGTGAGGTTTTAAAGTGTAAGCCGCTGCTTAGGTGGATTTTAAGAGAGGGTAATCTAATTATAGGGATGGACAAATGTGTTTTTATTTGAATTGATTATTAACAATCTATATAAGAGATACTAATTACCTTATTCTAAAGATATTTTTTAAAATTTTTATTCCATATATGGAAAATATATTACACAAATATATTTTTCTACTCAATATAATACTGGTTATATCACAAATCTCTTACATTTATTGTTTTTTTTTGTAAAAAAAAAATCTCTTACATTTATTATGGAGTATAATTTCTCTTATTACATCTCCTCCCATTCACCCTATCATAATATCATCTCACTTTTATTAGTATAATAATTATTACGGAGTATTATTATCCGATTCATTTTCCGTTTCATTTTCCATTTCAATTGTCATTCTTTAGTTTTGGTTTTGAAATACAATAGTTTGATCCGGAGTATAACATAGATTAGTGGATAGATATTATGTTATTAATGTTGTAGTTCAAATTAACATTTTATTATCTGATATATTTTCTAATATAGGTTAGGATATATGTAAATATTTGGATCATTAAATGAGATGGTATAAAAAAAAACACATGATGGGATTAACTTTATTAAGAACATTTTAATACTCTACGAGGGGTAGGAATTTAGGTAGTAGGTATGTTAAAATACTATGCTTAGATGTTAGGTGGATCATATATAATATAGGACTAGTTAATGCTACCTTTCTCAAAACACATCATTTTCTTTTCCAATTTTGTTTGAAAATATTTTTCAACTCAGAAAAGGGGAGTGGCGTTCTCATGTGAATATTGATTTTTCTTCATGAAGAAATACAAACTTCGAGTACACTCGATTTACAATTTTACATAATCTATCAATTTTATTTGATTGGGTTGCATAAAAATATAATTTTAGGTTTTCAACATAATTTCTTGAAAATGCATGATTTCCAATCTTTGCTCCAATGGTTAGCTAGCTGTTTGAATATTTACGGAAATTACTAGCTAGTCCTTAAAATTTAGCATTATTTGAGATGTTTTCACAAATACCGATTAGACTCAAAAGGATAAAAGTCCAAACGAGCCTAACTTGACTCTTCATTTTAAGCCGCTTTGTTGGCCCAAATCAAGTCTAACCCAACCCAACCCAACTCCTATGATAACTATGGTGAAAAATTAGTAGATCAAGTCAAATTTGATTGTCCGGGTTTGAGTTTCTCTCAGCAACTTCGAATTCATTATATGTTGGGTTATCGGGTCAGCAATTGTAAAACAATTTCAAGCTTATAACCAAGTACTCTTTTCATTTATTTACAAATATTTCGATTTAACTTTTACACTATTTATATACATCTTTGACCTGTATTTGAATTTTATACATAAGATTTAACATAATAGTAAAGGTTTTGTTAGAATCGTCTCAAAATCTCAATATACAAGTATAAATTTTAAATATCAACTTTATATTATTTATGATGATAATTAAAGATATTGTCAAAAATTCACATTGACCACATATACCGATCAAAATGAGACACTTGAAAAAAACAGTATACATTCTATTTTATTATTGTACAAGTATAGTATGGAAAAGAAAGAACATTTTCTAAAATTGGTGTACAATGAGAAGGAGAAAAATATAGGAGCCGTCAGCCAAAAAGAAAATAAAAAATGGAGTATTGACAATAAAAGGTGGGGCCAAGGCATGAAGATTCGTTTTATGAGTCTCAAAAATGCCGGCCTATTTGGACCGACCAAACCGCCCTTTCCATGCTTACCATCCTGGGCCACGCCCAAAGTAAAGTGTACTAAAGTTGTTCATTCTATTTTATTCATTTCTTTCTTTCTTTATTTAATTTGATTAAACCACTCAATTTCTTTTTGGAATGTTAAGACTTTTTTCATTTTCAGTCAATAGTCTCAATTTTATGCCATGGATCTAGAATATCTAGAATATTCTTATTTTAACCACAAGTAATACTATTGCCCTGTTCTCTTCGCCTTAAAAAAATAATATTAAGTAAAAATAATTTCATTTCAGTAAAAATAAGTTCAGTTCAGTAAAAATAATTTTAGTTCAGTAAAAATAAGTTCAGTTCAGTAAAATTCAATTTCTTAAAGAAGAATTATAATAGAAAATCACTAAAAATAATTTCAGTTCAGTAAAAATAATTCCACTTCAGTAAAATTAAGTTTAGTTCAGTAAAAATAAGTTCAATTCAGTAAAAATAATTTCAGTTCAGCAAAATTAAGGTGAATCAAACAGGGCCTATCTTCGGATCGTATTATATGTAATTTTGAAAATTTTTATATCTCACAAATAATACTTCAAAATTGCATATAATACGATCTAGAGGTAGTATGTAGTATTATAAAACACACTAATATATTTCGTTATCAAAAGGCAATATTAAATATAATTAAAATGATTTGAGGAATCTGTTAATAAATTTTTAAAAAAATGCTCAATTAACATGACATATTCATAAATAAATCCAATATGTCCATATCTAATCAAAAGTTGTCAATATATTTACAATTTTCCTACTTAATAACTTAATTTTGTTTAGCAATCAAGGAAATAAACTTTTATTTTCTAATATAAACCATCACATATAATCTTAAGTTAGATGTAGCTTTCCAAAACAAATTTAATGGCTTTTGGTGAATAGAAACTTTCAACTTTAAAAGCAATAATTGTTAGGCAAGAGTTAGACTCTTGGAGTTTTCATTCCTAAAAGGGCTATTCTAAAAGTACCAATGTACATGTTGTTAGGCTCTTCAATAATTAGACAACTCCCTATAATGTCGAGTAAGCCCACACGAGGAGAGGTTATCGAACCGGTCTTTGAAAAGTGGGCTTGAATTATAAATTGGATTGGACAAAACTTTAATTGCATCAATTATTGCTCAAAAGAATTGGCCAAGCAAGGTAAATCCAAACCAATTTATCAACTACAATAAAAAATTATTTCAAAAAAGTCATGCTTAGAAATCATATGCTTCATATTACCCTAATATAAATGGAAAAATACACTTTAATAATCCCAACTATGGGCGATTTACCTACAATAATCTCAACTATCGTTTATTCTACAATAATCCCAACTATTAGGTCAGTTTTCCCCCAACAGTCCCAAACCGGTCAACAAAAGTCAACAACCTATTATTGTAGGTTGTTTGACACGTGTCAGTGTGAGTGGTTCTAAAAAAAATTAAAAAAAAAAAGAAAAAAAAGAACAGAGGAAGGTTTTTTATTTTATTTTATTTATTTATTATTTTTTGGGTGGGTGTGTGTTTAAAGAGCCACAAGAGTATGAGAATCGATCTCGAAATCTCCTGAAATTGAGAGAGAAGTTCTAACAAATTGAGTTATCTCTCACTCTCAACAGAGGAAGTATGTTACTCAATATAAAAAAAGAAGTTTTAGAATAACTATTTTTTAAAAAAAAGTTATAGAAATAACCTTGCGTGACACACATCCTAAACTAGTATTTATTTATTTATTGAAGAAATCCTAAAACTAGTATAGTAAAGAATAATGTAAGGTTCAATTGTCTTTCAAACACATGAGTTTCTCTTCTATGGCTATCTTATCCCGTGCCCAAAATCTTCCACGAATGGGAGTTGCGCTCTTGTTGGATTATATGGACAATTAGTTAGCTCCTTCTCCTTCTTAAGCTAATACTTGGACCATTCAGATTTCCTAGTCTCCTCCTCATCATGCTGTTGTTAAGATAAATATTGATGGCTATGTGTGTGGTGGCTCAGGGATGTTGCAGGTGTGGTTATTAGAGACTACTTGGGTAATCATATCTGTAGTCGGTCTTATAATATTGGTACAAGTACGCCTCTTATTGTCGAGGCTATTGCCCTTCGCAATGACATGCCTCTTGCCATGTCCCACATTTTTGTTGAAGGGAATAACTTACTTATAATTAATATTTTGTAGGGTAAAGCTCAATGCTCGTGGAAGATTCAAGTACTGCTGAAAGATATTAGAGAGCTCCTTCGTCGTCTTTTCTCTTCCGCCTAGAGAGGGCAATAAAGCAACATATTATGATGGTCATTTTAGGCAAACGCACCAGGATATTGTTCCTTTTTTAGACAGTATTTTTATTTTATTTTATTAATTAATACTCCCTTCGTTTTTAAATACTTGCTCCATTTCTCCTGCACATGCATGTCGATGCTAATCTTTGATCACTAATATCTTTAATTATCAATAAGTATAAATTATAACAATTGAAAATTAATAATCTATTCATTGAGATGATTCTAACAAGTACCCACAAGACTATATTTTTTCTTATGTATAAATCACATACATTAGTCAAAGTAAGACAAATAAATAGTGCAAATGGAGCAAATATTTAAAAATGGAGGGAGTATAATTTGGGTTATAATCTTGAGTTCTTGACTCTTGAGAAAATACTAGCCTAATTTCTTGTATCTTTCCTTCAAAAAAAAGGTGAAAAATATGTGCCCAAACCTGGCAAGATCCAGAGTTATTGGCCCAAAGCCCCAAACCCATTGGATTTCAAGTCATCTGGGTTTTTGCTAAGTTTTTGTTGGAATTTTGGAGCTTAGAACTTGTAAAAAAATGGGGATTCTGAGAGACAAGCGAACTTCCCCATCTTCTTCTCCCACTTCAACTTCTCCGTGTGCTGATCTCCGAAACGCCTACAACAACTGCTTCAACAGGTGATTTTGTTGCTCATCTATTTCTTCTAATTACCTAATATAGAACAATTTAAGTGTATAACTGTATATTAGCTAATGAAATTGGGGTCAAATTTAGAACCCCTTTACATAATTATGTAAATAAATGATAAAATTTGCTTGATTTCAATTAATTTCCAGTTTTTATGATGTGGGTATGTAAAATTTTCAGGTGGTATGCAGAGAAATTTGTCAAGGGTCAATGGCAAAAGGAAGAATGTGTTGTTGAGTGGGAGAAATACAGGGAATGCCTTTCTGTATGTTCATTTGATCTTTTCATCTTTATTACATGGTTGAGTTTATGATATTGTTTTTGGAGAAATTGTTCAAATTTATGTTGATTTTTAGACTGTTTTTGCTCATGAAATGTGATAGTCTAGGGGTTTGATGTTTGTATTGTTAATTGACAGCAACATTTGGAAGATAAGCAGTTAAGTAGGTTTCTGGAAGTTGAAGCTAATAAAAATCCGTTTTCGATGGATCGAATCAATAGGAAGAGTTCAGTTGATGGTGCTTCAATGGGTGGTGCCAGCACCAAGTAATGTTGTAATTTCTTGTTGTATATACTGATGCAGTTGCTAACAACTTTGATAGTCAACTTTTCATTATACCTGTTGTTTTTCCGAGAAAATATATGTGATACACTTCTAATTTCGCAATTATGGAATCTTGTTCTTGTTATATTGTTGTTTTATTGTATGTTTTCCAAGAGATTAGACTTGGTAAAAAAATAACCTGACCAAAACAATCCCACATGTTGAGGATGATACTACACATTAATGAAGTGACTTACGTAGTAGAAAAATTCTGATGGACAAATATCATAATCTTGAAAGAGATAACTAATGGTAATAGAGTAACTTTTGAGTTAACAATCTTGCACTATCAAGTTATACATTTGGAGAAGTGTATTAGTTCCTTTTCATCTAAGATTCTGTTTATGGAATCCAGTAATCACCAGTGGATTTGGGATTAGAAAATTCTTTGTCCATTTTCTCCAACCTGTGTATGTTCTTAAGCTCATTTTTCATCCAGAGCTTGTCAAAGTCTAATGTGTGGAAAGAGAAGCAATTGCATTTTCTAACCACCATATGTCATGTTAGAGTGTAGCCTTGGCGAAGCAAGTCTTCTACATATATTTGGCCATTTGGGTTCTGGCCTTTTATTCGAGAAGTTTGAGGTAGGCAGAAATAATACTTTCTTTTCTGTGTTTCTTAGGCACTTTAGCAGTGTTTTGGTCTAGGAGTTTGAGGTGGGCTCAATCATGGTAATAGGATTTGGCATAAGGATGTGAATCACAACAGTATTCTATATTGTAATGCATTGCCTTGCATTTCAAAGAGAAAAGTATATGTGTCAACAATTCTCTTTTCCCATTGATAATCTTCTTGAGCTTAATTTCCAATGTTTGTCAGTTATGCTTGTGCTTGTTGATGAGAAATCTTGGGCTGAAATAATTCTAAGAAGCTTTAACAAAAGACGATATGATTCTATGTTGATGGCTAGACTAACCAGCTAGTTAAGCAGAACTATTACTTCGATACACAGGGTCTAAATGTCTGTCTGTGATTTGGGTCTTTAGAGGCCAGGTATGATTAGGCATGTGCACCATTGCAATATGAAAAAATGCTTTCTTGAAATTCTTGGGAATTGTGAAGCTGCAATCAAACACAGTTCATCTTTGTGAAGGATTGAAGGTGCAAAGAATGTTTTGACAGATTTCTAATTCCTTGTTTTGGCACAAGTGGCCTGTACATTTTTGGTAGATGCGGAAGACTGATGAATGTAAGGTGCATGACTTGCAGATAGGGAGCAGTAAAAAAAATTCATTCCTTGATTAGAATTATTTGCTGCTGCTCTTTTCTGAGAATATTTTTATCACTGGGATATCAATTATTTTATACTGTTTGATTGTCTACGGAGGAGCATAACCAGCTATTCAGATCTGCAGATGGTAGTAGATTAGATGTTAAGGGGATTTCTGAAGATGAAATTGCTTCTTTTAATTTGGTTTTTCATTATATTCATTATGGAATTCTGGAAGATAGATGTCTTATAGTATTTCATTAGCTATGATCCGACTTTGTTCTATATATTTTTTTACTGGATTCTGGAAAATTATACTGAACATACTGAGACTGTTGTCTGTTCTACATTCATATGCTAGAGTCATACATCGTTCTATATTCTCTGTTAATCATCCTATAAATTGCATTTACAGGAACTGAGTTATAGCTAAAAGCTACCATTCGCTTCATTTGAGTTGATTCAATCATTATTCAAAAGCATGGGCTGTCACAATTCAAATCTGTGGCATTAATCTGCCAAACAACTCAATTGTGTCTACCAATCGTCTGCATTCTTTTTATTCAGAAACGATAAATAAAATAATTAACAGAGTAGATGAAGAATGAGATTAATTCACTAATCAAGATTCAAGAGGGTAATCATTGACAGTGAGCAGCATTACTAACACCTGTTACAATCTTGCAGCCCCATACTTTATAAAGTCGGTTGATTGGATGCATCCCCAGTCGCTTGTTTCTACCCCCGGTCCTTTCCCAGCCCCCATACGCAGCGACTCATCAATGTGAAAACTCTTAGAAAAGTTAAATCTTACTACAATGTTAAGGGTGGGGGGGTAATCAGCTTTCTCTTCTGTTTCCTATGATTGCTCATTGATGCTGCTGGGATGAGAATAAAAGCTGCATGATCAACCTCATTTCTTCTTAAATAGGAAATGAGCAACCATCCATTCTTCCCCATTGTTGTACCCAAATAACTCAGCCACTGCTATGAAGAAGGTTCTCCAATATACTATCCACTTTAGAGCTGAGTCCCTGCCATAAGTCGACTCCATTATTGGCCTTATGTAAGCCAAGTTACGGTCCATTCTTTTAAGCCACTCCTCGCTGAAAAAAGGATAAAAGGTCCATCAACATGATACTTATCTTAATTAATAAATCTGAGCCAACTTGTGATGAAACTTGATAAGTTAATTTTTTTGGTAGGCTTAAGCCGCGGTCAAATATTGTCAATCTTGCTTTCTCACCTTGTTTGCGCGTAATGCTTCCCATTTACAAGCCAGTGGTTGACAATAGAGACATCATCCTGCAATGAGATCACCCATAAGCAACTAGATATAAATATATAATTGACTCAGTGTAATTTGTTATAAAGATGAGACTATGGGATATTGGGATTCATAATGGATTGTTTGCAAAAGTCTCAAGACTGCACAGATCTGTATTAGCTGGTTGCTGCTGCTAAAATGATGGTAAATGGCAATTTCAGACAGAAACCAAACAAATTGAGGTGATTGAATGACGAAAAGTAATTTGATTATAATTTCCAATTGAGAGACAAGGGATTGGCATTAATCAGACAGATCAATTCATGCTTAATACTCTCTTTTCCCGAAAATCATTGTTCCCTCGGTTATAACAGTGTAATATAAGTTGGAAACTTAGCAATCTGACAATAAAATCTGGAAGGTAGTATAGAAACTAATGAGTATTCTAAACGAAAGAAATGTTGCATATAAGAGACTTTGTGTTGCAGTAACAGTAAGTTATGGTTTTCACAGGCTAACCTGAAAGTAGAGGAGCAGATTTGCAGCAGGCATTGTGCCTCCGGTGAAGAAGTACCGAGTGATCCAGTCATCATCATTAATATCCTGCATACAAGTGTGTGAACAAAGTTGTCAATACTTCATAGCCGACTCAAACATGCAGTAGCTCATCGAAACTCAGCAAGTATATACAGGAAAGAACGGTCTGTCAAGACAAGATGAAAGTACCTCAAAGTGGTATGCAAAAGCTTTATGACAGAAATAATGAACAAATAGAAGGCCATCAGGTTTCATCCAGTTGGATATCTTCTTTAGAAGATCTCTGTAATTCTTCATGTGCTGTAGAATTAATCATCGACAAATCATATCAAATCTTTGCTATTCTGAAATATCCAACTTCCTGATGAATAGTACTAGTATTCCTAGGTAATACTGTTATAGTCATACCTCAAACATTTCGATAGACAGTATCAGATCATAAGATCCCTCCATGTCAAATGTGCTTATATCTGCTACTATGATCTCAACGTTTTCCAGCTGAAGATCCCTGAAACATAAGAATATGCACACCTTAGAACTTGTTCTAGTTAAATACCCTCCTCCGTCCTGTTAACATCTAATCTGTACTATTTAGAGATGTTAACTTAATTGCAGGACAAAGATTTGCAAGGAAAATGTGTATGTGAGATGAAGATGAATGAAAGACGCACCTGCACCTATCCTCAATGTGTGCTTTCTGCGTTACTGAATTGCAAATTCCGGTAACCCTGCAGTTACTGTACTTTTGTGCAATATACAAAGCAAGCGATCCCCAGCCACATCCAACATCAAGAACAGTATGACCATCTTGTATCCCTGACCTCTCACAATATAATTCTAACATTGCTTTCTCTGCATCATCTAGGTTTGTCTGCTTGTCAGAAAAATAACAGCAACTGCAAACAAGAGGCGGAACAAATTAATGCAGAACAGAAAAGATTAATACCGATAATCAACAATTCAAAGATGCACATTATTGTAGTTCTACTACCATACTAGTAATACTACAATGTAAAAAAGAATACAAAATTGCAAACTGATTATTTTTACCTGTATTTGAGATGCTTTCCTAGAACAAGCTTGAAGAAGGAAGTAGGGAGCTCATAGTGTTGAGTTTTTGCCTTATCAGTCTGAATTGCTATTGGCATTTCTCTTAAAGCTGCAAGAGGAGATATAGTTGATTAATTACTGCCTAATTGATCAGCAATTCGACACATACTTTGCGAAATTGGTGGAAGCAGAACTACAAGAAGGCTAGGGCAGTCTTCTTTTAAAGCTACACCCTGCCTTCAAAATTGGTACATTGTGTTACAAAAGATAATCTGAACTTCAATGTCATTTAATCAGATTCCTAGCAGCCTCAGTCAAGCATAATTTGTCAATTTGTGTGTTACATATCACCTCATTAACATTTAACTCACATCATATTAGAAAATGCAAGGATAGTATATGTGACTATTAAAATCGAACAGACTCAATAGAGGAATTGAGACTCTTCTCTAAGCAATGCAAAGACGAGATTAATGGACATTACACATTAGCCTTATCTCTATACAAGAATGAGGATATTATTTTCATAGTTAGACATTCAATCATCCAAAAATTGTTAACTACCTCTATTACATGATTAACCATCCAAAGATCCATAACACCCACATTCCAAATTACAGTTAGATAACCAAAAGCTCCATCATTTGGAAAATGTACCAGTATAAAAAAACATATGCTAGACAGCCATTTTTCATTTTTTTCGTTCCGTCTATCATTAATAGTCACGTTGACAGTGTAATTTAAACCGCTATTACAAAATTATAAATAAAAAAGTGGTAAGAAAACATTACAATGAACAAAGTGTAGAAGATCAGAGAGTTGAAGTTGAGAAGAAGATTTGTAGGAAGAACGAAGGCGACTGGCTAAGAGAAGGCGAGTAAGGCGTCTAATAAGAGCATCAGGCAACAAGTTTCTTTCATGTGCGCCTAGCATTAGCTTGGCAGTTGCTTTGTATGCCATTTGCTTCATTTCCTCCATTTTTTTTTCTCTTGTATTTTCACTGCTTTGTTTCTCTGTATCTCTTATCTTTTGTTGCCTGAATTGAAATTTAGAATTGTGGTGTTTGGATAGATAAGTGTGGTGATGTACCAGGCCACGTTATTGGCTTTTGTCAATGTACTAAACTCCCCTTTCTAGCCCTTGTTTTGGGCCCGCCCAAAAATCAATTCGATTTTAAAACGTTTTGGATTAGACTAGCCGGGAGATCATAAAGTTAAAATCATAAACCCAAATACCATAATAATTTTTTTTTTAATGAGGAAATTCCATAAATGCATAATAATTGCTTTTGGTCAAGTTTGAAATAAAATTTGAAACTCTTACTAGTTACTACATATTTTGTACAAGTAATAAACATGAGTTGTGTCATAATTGCAATTAATAAGGAATTAAGGATTATAATTATACTACTTTCCAACCCCCACTCCCACCAAATTCTTAGGGCCGGTTCCGATTTACTGAACTCAGCTGAACTGAACTGAACTGAACTTATTAATTAGTGATTTTTAACTACGGATTTGTGATCTTTGATTATTTATTACTATACATATGTGTATATACAAATGTACATATTAATAATAATATAATAATATTGTTATTATTATTATTTTTATTATTATTTATTGATGATTATTATTATTATTTATTGATTATTATTATTAGTATTATTATTTCAATTATTATTGTTATTATTATTATTATTTATTGATTATTATTATTATTATTATTTATTACTTATTGATTATTATTATTATTATTGTTAATATTATTATTATTATTATTGTTGTTGTTGTTGTTGTTGTCGTCGTCGTCGTCGTTGTAATAATAAGAGCTTAAAAGAATGAAATTTGGCTTTATATCATTAGCAATATTATTCGACGTAAATTAAGAGATGAACTGAACTGAAATGAACTGAAGAGAACAGACCCTTAGTTTCCTACATACCAAATCGTCCTTAAACTAATTGCTATGAACTTGACATTTCTTTAAACGATTATAAGAGAACCAATTACTCAATTAGTACTCCGTAATTCACTTTTTGCGTAATTCACTTTTTTTTTTTTTTTTTTTTTTTGAGGAATCTGTAATTCACTATTGATTGAGTGAGAATTTGGATTTAAGAGGTGCCATAAGGTATTAGGTATGATGTTAGTTTAATTTGGATGTCTTAAAGCTTGATTAAGTAAATTAATATCGACTATTGACATTTTCATGTCCCAAATAAAAAGGAAAAGAAATAAAAAGTAGGTGTTGATTGCCGACCATCCACTTACTTTTACCAAAAAACTATCAAATTACTCCTAATTAATTAATCAAAAAACTTTCAAAATTATATAATAATATTCATTATAAAGAAATAAAAGATAAAGCAAAGACAAAACTTCTATTCTCTAGCAGTATACTGAATCACTGATCTTGCTACTTAGCTAAAAAAAATAATTAATTCTAAGAACTTAAGCACTAATTCCTGGATTTAATCACATAAAACATGACATTAAAGCTTCTTCAATAAACTAATCATCCACCTAGATTAAAGCCCCCAAAGCTAGAAGAATCGGAACCTTCCACCTACCTTACTCCAAAAAAGTCTCTCTCATTCTAAATTTGCTCTCAAATTTGGACCCATTTCAAGTAAGCATCTTTTTCTCTCTTTTTCACTGTATAATCCAAAGTTTTGGTACATATTTTTTGTAGTACTTTGAAGATTTGATTGATAATTACATGTATGCTTTTCTGGGTAGTTTAAAGATTTTGTTTCATGGGAGAAGAGATGTTTGAATCTGGGTTTTCTATACATAATGATTCAAGTGATGGTGAATTGTTGCGTGATATTGAAGAGATTAGTAATGCCCTTTATTCAATGAACAAAACCCATGAAAATTCTGTGATTTCTTACTCTAATTATGGACCTAAATCGCATTTTAGTGTACCAAAACCGAACCCAAAACCGGGGTTTGATAGGGAGGAAGAATGGTTGAAAGAGGAGCATAAGCAGCATTCATCTATTTGGGGTTGGAAACCCTTTAAAGCATTGTCCCACATTATTAGGCAGAGGAAATTTACTTGCTATTTCTTTTGTCATGTTCATTGTATTGAGAATTTGACGCTGGAATTTAAGGATGTTTGTATGAGTGTGCATTGGAAGAGGAAGGATGTTGTGCTTAAGACCCGTCCGTCGAGGGTTTCGAATGGAATGGTTGAGTTTGAGGAGACATTGATGAGTAAATGTACTGTTACTGGTTCTAAAAATGGGCATGGGGGTTTTGTGAAGTATGAACCTAAGCATTTTTTGCTATATGTGTCGATTGTTGGGGCAGAAGGGTTAGAAATTGGAAAGCATTGGGTTGATCTTACAAGATTGCTTCCTCTTACTTTGGAGGAGTTGGAGCAAGATAGATGTTCAGGGAAATGGTCGACGAGCTTTAAGCTTGCAGGCAAGGCGAATGGTGCTACTTTGCATGTTAGTTTAGGGTTTTTGGTTACAAAGGATGGATTAGCTGAATCAGGTAGTTGCATAAAACCACAGCTTGCTCTTAGCTTGGAGGGAAATGAATTGAACAGGACGAGCTCTGTTGATTCTGGTTCTGTCAGAGGCAATACCTCACTTAGGCGGGTGGAGAGTGTTCCGAGTAGCTTAAATAATGCTTCTTGTTATTCATCTCAATGTTTGGATGCAAAGATTGGTGGGCCGAAGGATGAATATGATTTCTCAAATTCCATTGATATGCTATATGGTAAGCTTGAGGAAGGGAGGGTTGATAGTCTGACAAAGTTTGACAAGGTTCTTGAACAGTTGGAGTCGATTCAGTTGAGTCCAAACTCATTATCTAGTTCTGTAAAAGTTTTTTGTGGAACCAAACATGATGATGCAGAGTTTACAGTGATAGAAAAGGGAGTAGAATCAGAGTGCTCCCCCAAGGAAGCAAAAAAGTTGGATGAATGTATCCCTGCAGATTTGGAAGCCTCAGCTGTAGAAATAATTGATGTGGCTGACATTTTCAAGGGTGAAGAGATATGCTCAGAGGAGGAGACAAAGGTTGATCATTGGGATGAAGCCTTGAATTGTGTTTCAGAAGAGGCTCCTATAGATAAATACAGTGTTGATACTAAAGAGTCAGATCTTGAAGAAGAGGCTTTAGATTTGCTTAAGATGTTTATTTCACAGTCTGATGAATTAGAAATGTCAGAGGATGATATGTCTGTTGAGATTAAGGCCAAGCATAAAGGAAGTAATCTGGTCAAATCATTGAGCTTAAATGACTTTGAAAGAACTGTGGCAGATGATTTCTGTAATCTGTTGCAAGACTTGCGTACTCCCTCAAACCGGAGTTTCAATGGCGGGCTTGAATCTCCTCGAGAACGCCTTTTAAAACAGTTTGAAGAAGATATGATGACTTCAGGTAGCCTCTTCTTGGGTGCTGATGTACAAGATGATGTGTCTGATTATGACTTTGCAGCTTCTGGTGTATCCTCTTTAGAATATAATGTTGAGAGTGTAGATCTCTCGCCTTTCATTGATACTGCAGGACTTGAAGCGAATGAAAGTTTTCAACAGTCATTGAGAAATAAACTGAAAGCAAAAAGCCTTGAACGCTTGGAAACTCAGACCTTGATGCAAAGATGGGGTTTGAATGAGGAAGCCTTCCAGAGCTCCCCTTATTATAGCACTGGTGGATTTGGGAGTCCTGTTTTTGTACCAGCTGAAGAACCAATAGGATTGCCTCCTCTTGCAGAAGGCTTGGAATCATTGCTTCACTTAAAGGATGGGGGTTATTTGCGGTCTATGAGCCCTTTGCTTTTCAAAAATGCTAATAATTGTGGGAGCTTGATCATGCAAACCTCAAAGACTCTCGTGCTACCCACAGAATTGGGTTCTGATATCATGGAGATATTGCAGTATCTGGCATCAGTTGGCTATGAGAGACTGTCCAAGAAAATGCATAATTTACTGCCTATGGAAGATCTCTCTGGAAAAATTATGCAGCAAATAGCATGGGAGGCTTCGTGCTATGCTGAGGTGTCTGAAAGGTTTGTGAAATGCTTGTTGATGCTTTGCTTGCTCATTACATGTATCTAGGCCTTGTTTGGTTTGGGAGGCTTGTGAAATTCCCATAAAACTTCAAGTTCATTTGTTTGGTTAGCTTCCATGGAACTTAATGATTCTTGTGTTTCTGAAGTTAGTTGCTTTAGAACATGGAAAGCTGCTTACCAAGAGAGGGTTGGTGGACTTCCCATGATATCTCTTAACAAAAGTTTTTCCCCTCAAAATTGATACCCTTTTTTTTTGCCAATAATTAATTAGTCTTTTACATTTATAATGTGGAAGTTGTTTTATGAACCAAACGAATCTACTTTGTGACATGACTTTTCATGAAGCTACACATCTATGATACATGAATTTTTATTTCAGTATACTTAACTTGTTGGTAGGGGATGGAAAAAACAAGTTTGATGGATTTACATTTATTCTTACTACTGGGATTAAGCCACACAAGGCCTAGAAATGCTATCTTATCTTGTTTTAATTGCTAACTTGTTTCCAATTGCTGCCATAGGTCTGCCTCTCCTCAGTATGAATCTAATGTCAAGATTGAGGTAGAGAGTCCTCCATATGTTCAGGGTTGTAATTACTTTAGTTCAAGGTCAACTGGCAGTGATATCAGGTCAGAATATGTGGCCGCTAAAGATCTGGCCTTGTTGACACTTGACAGGATAGAAGCCCTCATGATTGAAGGGTTGAAAATACAGTCAGGCATGCCTGATCACAATGCACCTTCCAGCATCAGGGTAAAATCTGTAAAAGAGGTCAGATATCAACCCGGGATTGACTACTTTGATGACTCTTCCGACTATGTTAATGGATTGTTGGATCTTTCTATTTCATTAGCTGAGTGGTTAAGGCTGGATGCTGGAATGTCAGGTGATGAAAATCAGGATGATAAGAGTACAATGAATGTGCTAAGAGCTCATCATGCCAAGTGTAGCTATTTTAACAACAAATCAGCAGGAGAAAATAACACAGAGAATGAATCGAGAAATTGCGGGATTTTGGGAGATAATCTTACACTAGTTATGATGATGCAGCTCAGAGATCCACTCCGAAACTATGAACCAGTTGGTGGCCCAATGCTCTGTCTAATTCAAGTCAAGAGACTAATTGAACCTGTGAATCTAGCACTGGAAGATGACAAAGTGGGAGAAGGCATGGTTTCCAGATTCAGACTTGATGAAGCTCATGTTGCAGGATTGAATATTGAATCCGACAATCTAGAAACATGGTCTTCTAGGAGACACAAACAATCAGGATCTCGGTGGTTGCTTGCTAGTGGTTTGACCAAGAACTGTAATTCTCGGTTTTCAAAGTCAAAGTCAATAATAAGAATCTCCTCACAAGTGCTTAGAAAACCATGGACACGAAACTTCATTTGGAGTCTTTCACACCCCATTCATGAAGTTGAAGCTGACCCTCTGAACCCACTCACTCGCAACGCTGACGTTATATTCCCTCAAATGACTGTTTGAATCCCATGGTAAGAAACATGTTACCTTGAAGAGACTACTATTCCCTCCTTTAGGAACTTGAAGCGCAAGTATATCAAATCATATTTTTGCGTCTTTTACAGTTGTTTTGTAACTATGATATGATACTAGAATTACAATTTGTTCAACTTTTTTTTGCTGTATATTGCTTCAGGATGGTGACTTGTTTTTGCTCTAAACAGAGTAATGGTTTGTAATGAGTCAATTAGTCAATGAAATATTAGTGGTACATATTGGAGTGTCTTTTGAATTCTTTTTAGGCCAATCATATAGCTTTTTTGTGACTAAATAAGATTAGATTTTTGTTTTGTGGATGTAAATGTAACTTATTTTAACCTACATGACGTACACTCATTTTTTGTTGATGATGTAACAACGCTTTGTAATGTTTCACTGCTTAAGCTTAAATCATACTTAAGGAAGAAGAAAAGTTAAGTTTCTCAGAATCTCATTCTTAAGGGACCCAGCCTCTTAGGTGGCTAGGTGAGTTTTCGTGCTAACACTGGTTGTTCTGTTTTTTGGTTGTTCTGTTTACTACAGTGGCTTTCAGCTTACCTAAACTTGAAGGCAGGGTTGCTATACTAATGACAGTAGTAGTCCCTCGGTTCGAAAATAATAGTGATGTACACTATGTTGGAGCTGTTAAGAAATTAGAATTTCAGGGTAGGTTGTCTCACACTTCCTAAAATTAGGAATAAATCATGCACGGTTTTACTAAAATATTACTAACGTATTTTTACGAAAACTGACAAGTGATTGAGGATGGGAATGAGGCAGCTAGTCAACGACTATTTTCATGGGTATGTTGGTGAAATCATGGCAAGTTCTTAGTATGAGGCTTGGTAATTGCTACAGTATCAGAAATATTTTTGGGCAGAAGTAGTAGCTTAGAAACGGAAGTTTGCCAGGTAATTTTGTATAAGCTGATGTGCTTATATTAGACTTCAGACGGCTTATTATCTGGCAGAAAAGTTGTAGAACTTTGCTGTCATGTTTATCATGTCATACTTTGAAGACCATCTTATTTGCAGTGGAAAAGAAACTTCCTTCCTAGGTAGAAGCTGTAATTTTCCGCGAATTCCAAACCTATCATCTTCTTTACAATGAAGAATGCCTTAATTGTTCACTCATTGCTTATCCTAACAGTTATTCAAACTTTCAAACGTATGTCAGGCAATTGATTCTGCTGCTTGTATAGAATTAACTTGGTTAACCTAGTTCTTGGTTTCTGATTCCTGATCATCTTTCTGAGTACATCTAGTCAAATGTTTTTCTCTGTTCCCAAAACTGAATCATGTACCTGATGTTTACGTCGTGTTTGTCTAACAAGTTGCGCTTTGAACAAGGGATGTATTTACCAAATATTCCTCTATGAACCAAACTACATCTAGCTTTTGCTTAAGGAAAGGAGGGTATGATGACTCCTCACCCTGGGATAATTGGCGTATATTGTTAGGTTAGCCTAATAGAAAGAATGGTACTGAGTACACAGTCTTGACAACATGCAATTATTCTGTCAAAATAGGTCCAATTATAAGTACTTGTTCTGCTACATTCAAATGATATGTATCTGAATATTCGACTTCATTCAAATGGATAATTATCTTACAAGCTGTTCCGGACTAGAAATATGATTTCAGACTGCCAGATTCAGCTGTAGTTTCTGATTTACATAGTTCAATGGGGTTGCCTCACTGTTTATTTTTCTCTTTACAGTCAAGACATCACCATAATATTTGTGACTGAAAAATATATATGAAATAAAGTAAACTCTTTATATACTACTGCTGTTAAAACAGAAAATGGCACACTACATCTAACAAGCCTAAGATGACTAGTGTTTATTGTGTTCAATTTGTTACTGCAGTATTAATTTACAGATCTCGGGTCTCCTGACAAAAGTGAAACACATGACAGTATGTGGAGAAAAAACTTTTGCTGATCCCATGTGGTCTGCAACCAACCCACCAAGCTCTGAAGGAGGAAACTGAAATTCCTTGCAGCTGACAAGTACTTGCAGAGCATAGAGCTCTGACAACATCCTCGAAGTTAACTACTTTGGGGCGTCATGGATATGATTGCCTTCATATGTTGTTATTACGTATTTCATGTCATCCCTGTCTCGCTCTACTCTCTTCTTTACAGGACAACTGTCTACAGCACACCTGTAGTAGTTCCTGCATATACATATGTTTCGAAGAAAGATCAGCTGCAGTAGTAGGCTAGTAGCAGTAAACTAGTACATTAAACTTGGTAATGTGTTGTTCATATTATTATGCTGAAAATAGGCTTTGTGGGAGTTAAGTTACCTTGGGTTTGGGCTGTTTTTGACCATCTTCTTGCCATACTTTCTCCATTTGTAACCATCATCAACGACATCAATCTCCGATTTCATTCTGAATGCAACCCTTTCCTTCTTCTCTTTGCCATTTCTAACTGATCCTTCTAATAATAGCGAGTGAAAAAATTAAAATTCAGAATGAATATATATGCATGCTATATCATCCAAGTATAGCCAAACAATCATAAAAAGAGGAAAAAGGCGGTATAGTTGAACTCGCTTACTGCTGTTCTCTCCCTCATTTTGGATGTTGCTGCTTCCCCCAATATCATAAAACTCAGTTCCTTGATACCCATAATTCTGAGTACCCTGTGAACCAAAATCCATGGACTGCTGCTCGTTCCCCCAACCTTCAAAGGAAAAGAAGTCTGAAACCTCGAAATCAGTACTCTGCTCGAAAAAATGATCACTTCCTGAGGACTCAAGTGAACTGAAAGTGTTAGTAGTAGTTGTCATAAGGTGGTTGTTGTTGTTGTTGTTGTTGTTGTTGTTGTTGTTGTTGAGGTATGCAAGGGATGGGAGGGTCGGATAAGGAACGAAACACGAAACGTATACGTTGCTTGCCATTGTCAAATAACAGAAGTAGCAGCATACATATAATGTGCAAGATATTCGCGCTTAATACATCAGTGAAACCTTCCTAGGAGCTTCCATTGACATTTAAGTTACAAGGGAAGTTTCATATGTTGGTTCTCTGGATTAAGTGATGGCTAGGGGTGTACAAAAATTGGCCCGGACCTGAAACCGGACCTGAAATGGACCGGACCTGACCCGGACCTGTTGATTCAGGTCCGGTCCCGGTTCTTAAAAATCCAGGTTCCCGGTCCCGGTCCGGACCCGGTGCAAACCCGGGGTTTTCAGGTCCGGACCTGAAACCCGGGAAAATCGTAATTAAAAAAAAAAAAAAAAAAAAAAAAGAAAACCAAACTCTGAAAAATTGAAACTGAGTTTTCGTGGACTTATTTGTATTTTCGGTGGACTCATTTGTATTTTTGGTGTTTGAGAATCGGGACTTTATAGACTTTATGTAGTTTTGTAATTGATAATTTTGGTTTGTATGTAATTATTAAATTATGCAACAGGTCTAAAAATCACAAAACAAGTCCATATGCAGGTCCATATGCAGGTCCAACAGGTTTTGTATTAAAAAAAAAAAAACGAAAAAGACACAAAACAGGTCCATTCAAGTCCAAAGCCGAACCGGACCTGATTTTTCAGGTCTGGCCCGGAACCGGACCTGTTAATTCAGGTCCGGTCCCCGGTCCTCATAATTACCCAATTCAGGTCCCCGGTCCAAACAGGTCCGGACCAGGTCCGGTCCGGTTTTGGACCGGTGTACCCCCCTAGTGATGGCTATATAGGAAAGTAACTAAGGGGGGCCCTGTTGAAGTGTGCAATGGTAAAAGTTTTATATTTGAAAGGGAAAAGGACTGATGACATAGAAAGGGAAGGCCAGAGAATCATAGATCTAGATGGGACATACCATTTTGCTATGGATGACTTGTGAGTAGACTTTGGTTTAATAATATTTTCGGGGTTGATTTCGTGACGTACTTTCAAAATTTTCGAATTCCTACGACAATTAGACTTTTATAATATTTATATTTATACTAGATAATGCTTCAATTATGCTCGGTTTTAAAAATTGCAGAGTAGTAATTGAATTATAGAGGTCTCTATATTTATAAAAGTCTCTATTTAATCTAAGTCAATAGTCAACCATAAATAAATAAATAATTAAGTTTATAAATAAATTAATGATTTTACCCAAAAACAAAAAAAAAGAAAAAGAAAACTCCCTCCAAAAAAAAAAACTTTACTTTAATATAGGATATAGATATGAATATGAAGAAATATAGCTTTGACTATATTTTCTTATTGGTTTATAAAAATCAAATGTTACTCTGTAGTATGTCGTTGATGAATTGGTTTCAATGAATACTTTCTTTATAAACTATGTATAACGTTTGCTAATACTAAATTTTATACATATAAAGTAAAATTTATGTAACGGAAAGTATGGTAAAATTATTGCAAGTATTCAAAAACGGGAGAATTATTTATTTATAATTTTATTTGAGTGGATGTGCTTAGACCAACCCGTCCACCAAGGGAGGAATACAAGTCAAGTTCTTTGATTGTGATTATATATATGATATGAAGATCTTATTTATATTTATAGTTATGGTAGTTTCTTAGCTTATGCGTATTAATATAAGGTCAACTATGCATTATCAAAAATACGACTATAACTTATTAAAAAGCAGCATGCCTTTTTGCATTTGTAGAGTTGTAGTTGTTGAAATATGCAGTAACTGATTTCAGCTGCATTTAACTGATAAAGTGATAATAAGCTTATTATCCTCCCTCCCTCTAAAGTCCATATATAGTAAGATCAGTAACCCCTCCTTTCTCCTTTCGTCTTTTACAACTGTGACGATCTTTTGTGATATACTCCGTAATATATATGTGTAAAGTAGAATATAGAGAATTTATGTGAGATATTGTTAGATTAATCTTTATATACAAAGTATAATTTTAAAATATTATTTTTTTATAATTAAGAAAAATTCATAAGTTATGAATTTTTGTGATCGTGTGAACTTCAAAATGTTGTAATTTAAATTTTTTTTTTTTCAAAAAACAAAAACTTGCTGAGAAATCAAATAAAGAAATTGCAAGTTGAAGTTAGTTTTAGTTTAAAATTGTATTGATCAATTAAAAAAATGTGTAAATTTTTTAAACATTTGATTTCAAATTTCATCATGAATTTTTTTTTACAAAGTATTACATACAATACTAGTACAGGATTGTATTTAAAACTTCATGTCATCCTTAATAATTATAAATTTAAAATAATACAAATAGTATATGAAGTAAATTTAAATGAAAAATAATCAAATATAACACAAAGTTAGAAGAGAGTGCTTTTTATTCACCTAAATTTTGCTTATTTGAGCTTATTGAGTTTATTTAAGTAGTAAATTGTTCCTCTAAAAAAAAAAGTAGTAAATTGTTTTGTCCTTATCAACTTTTATTGATTTTATTTTTTCTTTCTCTAAGCTTATTTAAATTAACTACCTTTTATCTAAACTTGTTCTTAAAAAAAGAGAAAATTAAATGAAGTGAATCAAACTTAAAGTTTCTCTTTAACTACTAAAAACACGAGTTAACAATTAAGTTTATTACATTATTAAAGGCACTAGATAAAGCTCCAACATAAGCTAGCTTGTCAACTAATACAACACTTTAAAACTCAAAATACAAACATAATATAACATACTTCGCATATCATTATATATTATATATAATTATTCACACAAGCTCACTTATTATTATCATATATATTATAATTTTACTTTCTAGAAGAGCTTATCTTATTTATATTATAATTAATTAATTTATTTTTAGCCGTATTATTATATAAAGCATGTGTTAGCTAGTTTTTCCCTTTGATAAAACTCCATAAAAAGTTAGAAGATGTCGCTAATATAAGATGCAATATTAGGCTGTAAAGACTTTTTGACTGGTGCTGACCAGTGACTAATGACTAAAGACAACTAAAAAAATTGTGTCCAAATGAGCTGAATGCTTATATGTTTTGAAAGCTTTGCTTAATATTCTGTACACATGCATTTGAATCTTAACTCATTTTCAAGACATCAAAAGGCAGTCAAGCAGAATATCGAACAAATAGTAGAGGATTTTTAAAACGTATCATCAAGGGTGGCATATGTAATATGTTACACAAATTTTATCAAGTCATTTTTGAATAAGACCGCTAAAGTCACTATATCTAATTAACAATATCTATACTAATATACCGAAAAGAGAATGTATACGACACATATATATCACCATTTGATACTTTTTATTATGCTTTCATTATTTCATACTCAATTCAAATAACCCAACATGGATTAAGGGTATGGTGTTCATATTCTGCCTTTTTTTTTAAAAAAAAAAAATAAAAATAAAAAAAAGTTCTCAAGGTATAGCTTGCTAATTTTCATGGCGTAGTTTTTTATTTTCAAACTCAAATATAATTTATTTAAGAAAAATTTAGTAAAAATCTGAGACATTGAGTCACGCACAACACTAATTTCTCATTATAAGATCTATTGAAAGAAAATCTCATGAGAGATATTTGTTGACATAATAATAACTCATTAAATTAAATTAAAGTCACCATATTTTCTCAAAAACCGATTCACCCTTAAAACAAATATATTCTACATTTGCTTATAGAGCCCTTTCCCTAAATAATGTTGGGAAATTATCTAATTCCCAAATTACAGCTAATCTTTTTTTAATTCTCATCGTACCGTCCACGTCACCGGTTTAGTGAGAAGTTTGTTTTAAAACAGGTTCATTAGAAAACCGCTACTTCAAGTAGCGGTGTGCTATAAAAAACCGCCACTTCCGCTGCTTGAAGTAGTGGTTTGTATTTACTAAGTATTTTTTTTAACAAAATCACTTTCCCCTTTTCCCTTGTAAAATTATTCAGCAAAATCATAACCGCTACTTCAAGTAGCGGTGTTTTGAGGAAAACCGCCGCTACCACTTCAAGTAGCGGTGTATGAAATTAAAACCGCTACTTCAAGTAGCGGTTTATTTTCTTAACACCGCTACTTGAAGTAGCGGTTTGTTGCTGGACCGAGGAAAAAAAAACGGTTTGTTTTCCTTAGATGATGTGAACGGTACAGTGGGAATTAAAAAAAGATCGGTTGTATTTTGGGAATTTGCGTGTTTTCCAATATTATTTAGGAAAAGGGCTCTTGTTTATAACTATATATATTGCACTTGTATATAAGAGGCATGTCTAATTTCCGTCGAACAATAAAAAAAATCCGTCGAACAATAAAAAAAATTAAGGACATTTTACACGAGCATGTTAACAAATATTGATTTCTTTCAATATAGGGTATGTTCGGCAAAATATAGCTGTGAAGGTAGTTGTAGCTGTAGAGATAGTTGTGAGCTGTGTATGTAGCTGTTAGCTGTCAACAAGCTGTTAGTTGTGAAGATAAATAATTTAGATATGGGGGTTCGGTAAAGTAGCGGTTGACTAGTTGTTACATATGTAAATCAACATTTTATTTTTAAAACTATAGACTAAATTTTCAACAGCTACCTCTTATTTCAAAAGCTAATCTTTCTAACTTTTCATAAAAGCTACCTCCACCACTAAAAGCTACCCTAACCACTAATTTGCCAAACACTCACATTTTTTATCAAGTAGTGATTTGACTTGATCAAACCACTAAAAGCTATTCAAAAGCTAGCGTCGAACACGCCCATAATTTAGTCACAAAGAACTACGCATGAAGAGATAAGATTTAAACCCATATCTCGGTGACACTTTATATTTTCTGATAAGCTTTTGCATGAGACCGGATTCATCACCGTGAGTCCAATATACCTGACAATAATATTTTAATATATGGCATTAATATTCTAATATCTGACAATTAAATTCAATATATGATATTAATAATCTAATATCTGACATTAATAATCTAATGTCAGATAATAGATTATTAATGTCAGATATTTGAATATCAATGTCATATATTATAATATTATTGTCAGATATTATATTATTACTAGGTTAGGTCCCGTGCCATGCACGATAACTTTTAATAGCTATTCTATAATTAACACTATATTTAATCATTAAAAAAATTAAGTTATTAATTTGTATAATGAGTTAATTATAAAAAGTCTATTATTAGCAAAATAAATATTTTGAATACATATGTATGTATATTTATATATAATATTTTACCAACAAATTTATATCATTTTCTTTTTGTTAATTAAATAAATATTTTCACAATATGTATTTACCCCGTAAATAGATTTCTTTTTTCTTTGTATGTAACCCGTAAATAGATTTCTTTTTTGCACACTATATATTATTCATTCTCTCTTATGTAGTTATTTTTTTTCCCAATAATCAAATGACTTAAAGTATTTTTTAAAATCTTTATGGGCAAGTTTTTCATACACAATTAAATACAAAATCCCTTTTTTTTAAAAAAAAAATATCTTTGTTTTATTAATGGTAAAGTAGTTCATAACACTATATATGTCACAATTTTTGTTAAGAATTTGATTTTTTAAAACTTAGGCCCTGTTCAATTCATCTTAAAAAAATAATATTAAGTAAAAATAATTTCAGTTCAGTAAAAATAAGTTCAGTTCAGTAAAATTAATTTCAGTTCAGTAAAAATAATTTCAGTTCACTAAAAATAAGTTCAGTTCAGTATAATTCAGTTTTCTTAAAGAAGAATTATAATAGAAAATCTAAAAATAATTTCAGTTCAGTAAAAATAATTTCAGTTCAGTAAAATTAATTTAAGTTCAGCAAAATAATTTCAGTGCAGTAAAAATAATTTCAATTCAGCAAAATTAAGGTGAAGAGAACAGGGCCTTACTTTATGGTATCAACATATATTGTGGAAGGACCGAATGATACATTAAATCTTTTCAAAAATCCTTGATTTATTAATGGTAAAGTAGGACATAACACTATATATGTCACAATTTTTGTTAAGAATTTGATTTTTTTAAACTTACTTTATGATGTTAACATATACTGTGGAAGGATACATTAAATCTTTTTAAATATTTTATTTATGTATTTCGTATAAGATTTGTTTCCTAAAAAAAAACTAAGGGACACACCAAAAAATGACCCGTGTCATTTTTTGTGTGTCATTTATTATATAGTTATTGATTGATTGTCAGATATATTAGACTCACTGTGAGTCCGACTCACCCAAATTTTTTTTTCATATTTTCTTGTAGGCGTATGTCCATTTCAACCTAAATTACAAGGAGTTATATATCTAATTACACAGTTCTCAAATCAAGTCGTGTACAAAAGAAAGGAAGGAAGAAAGAAAGTTAGAATTTCTACATAATATTTCGAGTTATTATTTTTGATATAAAGTGATGTGGCAGTTTAGTGGTGTTAGACCAAAATGGTAAATTAGTGGTGGGAAGTACTTGATTGATAGCATACTAAAATTCTAGTAGAGAAATGCCGTATGTACCTTCCTAAGGAAGAATTTTCAAATTGTTTTACCACTTAACTAAGCTACTTAATCATTAGTATTGGCACTCCCTCCATTTGACTCACTTCACCCTTTATTCTTCTATTGCATTCCCTTTATCACACATGGTGTAATACTTTTCCTTTGATCTTTCTTACACTCAAGACCGACTCAACTATTGTTTTTAGCAATACAAGTTAATTACCTTAACTTCTTCTTAATTACTTGTTATAGATAGGTTTTACTTTTCAACCTACCACTAAAATTTTAATTTAAAGTGATCCATGTGATATATATATATGGAATTTTTGTTTGTTAATGCACAATTTTAATATGTTATATACTTATATTATTGATCATCTATAGTGAAAGTTACAAAAGATTAATATTTTTATGCATCAAGCTGAACATAATATAATCTCATATAACTATATTTTTCTTTAATTAGATATCACAATGGTTAAAAGGGTGTGTGAATAATATAAAAGTTCAAATTTAGTGGTCAATCTAATTAATTAACAGAATACTAACCCTAAAATAGTGGGTTAAGGTTGAGATTTTCAACTAATTCAAATAAAGTGACATACTCAACTAAACTATTTTAACCCTCCAGCGAATTATAAAGAAAGTATTGTTATGTATTTAATTTGTTGGTACATAACAAAGATATAATGGTAATTTAATACAATAATAAAAGGTGATGAAACTACATTTTGTCACTAATTTTAGTGTACCACTGTAATTATTTAAGTACCATTACAATTTTTTATAACACCCTTATGACCCTGTTCTTTAGAGCTGCTCTGCTTTGTTGAGTCATGCTCTGCTTTGCTCAACTTCAATATGCTCTATTGTGATTTGCTTTGTCCTGCTCTGCTTAAAAATAATAATTAATATTGAATTATTATAATAATAAATAATTAAAATTTAATAGTTATAATAATTAATGATAATAATAATAATTATTATTATTATTAAAATAATAATTTATTTTTTATAATAAAAATTAATATTTAAAGATAATAACTAATATTTAAAGACAATAATTATTAATTAATTAATTAATTAATAATAATAATAAATAATTAATATTTAATAATAATTTTTATTATAATAATAATAATCTAATATATATAAATAAAGTAGGCATTTTTGGAGAACATCTGGCTCGCCACATAAGAAAAGATGTTATTTTGACCAATGAAAAACTAGATTAATAATTTTATAGATTTTTATGGTGTAATTATCAAAATGAAACATGATAAATTAGAAAAAAAAAAACCATATAGGATAATTTATTTATATATATATATATGTATATATATATATATATATATATAAGTCTGGTTTAGATGATCTAACGATTGGGATTACTCATGCCCTTGATCTAACAGCTCAGGTGAATTACTTTAGAGAGGCTTTAGGAAAAATGGAGAGAAATGTGGGTCTGGAGAAAACGAATTGGACTATAGAAAATGCATATCTTTAATATTGATTGGATCAAATGATATGGTGATTAACTATTTTGATTTGCCAACTCAAGCTTTGTTATATAACCTTCAAGTTACTCAGATCTTTTTATTTCTTTAAAAAGATAATATTTGTGGATTGCTAAACATCGCCCGCAAATCTCCACATAAAGCCCACAAACTTATATTGAAGTTACAATATTGCCCTTGACCTTAAAAAAAAACACAACCTCAATAAAAATCAAAGTACGGGGATGTCGAGGCTCGTGGCGGAAAGGTGGTTGGCTCGTGGCGGCAAGGTAGTAGTGGCTCGTGGCGGCAAGGTGGTGGTGGCGCCAGGTTCGGCAGCCACGTCCACCGGCCTGGCGTCTGGGCAGGACGCCCAGCCACGGTGAGTGGCGTTTGGGACAGGCGCCAGTCATTGTGACTGGGCGTCCTGCCCAGACGCCAGGCCGGTGGACGTGGCTGCCGGACCTGGCGCCACCACCAGCCACGGGCCGTCCTGGCCAGGCGCCCCAGCTGCCTTAAATTTTTTTTTTTTTTTTGGAAAATCAGAAAATTTTTCTAATTTTTTTTTAATGTGTTTGATTTTTTTTTTTAATAATTATTAATTTTATGTGTTATTTTTTATAAGTCTAGTATATATATTTTTTATAAAATCAAATAAAAAACATAAATTTCCACATCCTAAATCAAAACATAAATTTAATAAACATAATTTAAAAAAAAAAGGCAAAAAAAAAAAAATTAAAAAGTAAGGGCGGCGTCCAAACCAGACGCCAGTGCACTGGTGGTGGCGCCTGGCCTGGACGCCAGTGCACTGGTTGAGGCGCCTGGGCTAGACGCCAGTGCACTGGTTGTGGCGTCTGGCCTGGACGCCAGTGCACTGGTTGTGGCGCCTTGCCTGGACGTCCTTGCCATGGTTCCGGCGTCCAAACTAGGCGCCACCTCGTTTTCCGTCGAAGACGACGTATCTCCGGCGACCCTCGCCTCTCCGGCCTCCCTGGGCAACCCAGTACGACTCCACATTTGTTAGATCGAGATTTGTTCACTTTGGGTACGATTTTAGAAATGGGCAAAATTGTCAAACCATGTCTAATTTGTGGGCTTTATGTGGAGATTTACGGGCGATGTTTAACAAATCCCGAATATTTATGGGTGATATATTTTGACGAATGAGATACCATATTTATCATCGATTTAGTAATTTAAATACAATTTTCACATAATTAACACTAATGAATAATAATTCACTTACAATAGGTGGGTAGCAATTTAAAAAAAGAAACACCAATGAATTAATATAAACTATTCTTTTCTAACAAGAAAATTAATCAAAATATTATATGGTATAATTAAGAATATTATCTTTTCATAATATAAATAATAAAAACTATATAATTAAATTTATCTTTTTCTAACAAGCAATTTAATCAAAATATTAAATGGTTTAATTAAGAATATTACCTATTTATGAGATTTAAGTACTCAAAAAAAAAATAATAAAAAAACAATAAAATATCCGTGCATCGCACGGGCTTTCATCTAGTAATAATAATAATAATAATAATAATGATGATGATGATGATGATGAAATCTATTGCAATCTGCTCTGCTCTACGCCTCTACAGACACTGGTTCTGCTCAGCCCAAAAGCTCAAAAGAACAGGGCCGTACCAATGACACAATTTTATAACATAATTGTAAAGTATACCATTGTAACCATATATATTATTATTCCACTATCAAGGTTAATTTCACAACTTAGTGGTAGTAATGTTAACAACAAACTATTTACAGTATGGATTTGCCATGTTATGTACAATAAGGGTTTTTTTTTTCACATTATTTTTAGTTCAATTTTTAATTTCCTTCTCTCATAAAATATTCAATTCAGTTTAGTCCAGTTTAGCTCAGCTCAGTCAATTAGAACACACCCTAAGTATAAAACTATTCCATATTACGCTAGTATTCCTCTTACCTCTTAATCCACGTCCAAATCCTAATCTATAACTAATACTAAAGCAACCGCTGATGTCATTGTTTTTCAAAGTTGTACACGTTATGAAAAGATTTCCCGCTCAAATGCTAATTATTTTTTTTTGAAACAAAATGCTAATTAATTTTATATATATATAGTAGCTACGAAGTATTATTTAGGTAATTTAATTTAAAATAAGTACCTATTACTTTGGTGATTTATGTTGATATTTGATTGTTGGAGTCTTTATACGAGTTGCTAGCATAGTTGAGGTCAATTAAATTGAACTTATGAACATTTTAAACTAAAACAAAAAAAAAATTACTAATAAATCCATGCATCATACGGATGCTAACCTAGTATAAACACAAATGTGAACCCGAACACAAACACAAACACAAACACAATCACAAACGTGACCAGCCCTAACCAGCCCTGCATACAACACCAGTACACCTACAATTTTGTCAAAATGAAATAACTCTCACTACATTACTACCATCCCGCCGTGACAGAGTCTAAAACTTGAAAAAACCAAAATGGTACGCCGGAAGAAGCAAACTCTTAAAAAACTTAAACCCTCCAACACCGACAAAACCAACAACCAACCGCCGTCGAAAACACCACCACCGCAGAAAACTCCGCCGGAGAAAAAGGACCGGAAACAGCTCAACGCTGAAAAGTCGGCGCACTTCGGCCGAAGAGAAGCCGCCAAAATCCTTCGAGTAATCCTTCAAGGCGACGCTCATCGTCGTGCTGTTGGTTCTATCAAAACCCTGGTTTTCAAACCTTCTGTTCGTAATAAGAAGGCTACTTTCGCTCTCATTTGCCAAACTCTTAAATGTATGTGTTTTTAAGTATTAATTTGTTGATTATGTTGTTTTTTATGCTGATTTTGGAGTTTTTGTTGTTAGTTTTTGTTAATTTATATTTAGAGTTGTGAGTTTAATTTGAAATTGGAGGTGTTTGTATTGATGTTCACTTCAATTGTTGCATGAAACTTTTGTTGTATGTATAAAATGGATGTGATAGAATGAGGGAATTTTCTCCATTTATATGAATGATTGAATCAATTTTAACATAATTTTCAAAGTTGAACATAATTCACACTTACTGACAAGTGATGTGCCATACTGCTATGTGCTGTTGTTTTTGATTAGTTTTTGTTAGCTAGCATGCCATTGCGCAGCGAAGTATTAGTGTTGTGATCAATGGCAGTTTTATAGGCACTGCCAGTGCCAATTTCGAGTATGCATCGTAGTTTGTTAACTTTGTATGCTGCTTTATAGGCAAGAAGCTAATATAGTCTATGAAACATTACTTTTTCGTTGCGTGCTGTGAATTACTCTGTCTGTATCTTGTAATTCCAGAGTGCGTGGTTTGTGAATGAATGAAATCTATTAAAGCACACTCTGAATTACGATACAGTTTAGGGGTATACCCTGAAAAATGTTTTTCCAGGGAATTATATTAATATTTGTCTTACTTCTTTCTTATTAGTTATGCATGAGAATGTTGATACTGATTGTTCATGTAATTTGTTGTGTTTACTGGTAGAATTAGGATATGTTGAAATCATATTATCCGTTGTGTTAGTGCTGTAGGATTATCTCATGTTGTATGCTTTATTGCGATTACACAGACACAACAAACAATTGAATGTACAAGTTTTAAATCATTGTCCCATTATGATATTTATAAGAATAGAAGTAGATGAATTAAATTTTTAAGTGACATCATTTTGGCTTTGATTGCTTTCAGATCTTCCTATTATTAAAGAAGTCTTGGATTCTTCTGCTGTATTAAACAGCAAATGGAAGGTAAATAGTTAATTTTAATCACATGTTATTTTTAATCAACTTGCATACTTGATCCAGTAACATGAGCCTAAAGTACGGTTTTAAATTTATAATACTCCGTATAATGAATTAATGGCAGTGGTCTGGAAGGTGTAGTTTGTGAATTAATTATTGTCTTTTATCTCTGTTGTAGAGACAGGAGGAGCTAATATACATAACAACCTACGACTTGCTCTTCGGCAAGGTAATATTCAACTTTGTGTTTCGGTATCATATCACTCTTTCATTTTCTTGAAATATAAATTCTTGTACCAAATTGGACATGAATTATACCTAGATTGACCTTTTGCTATAAGGGATGGGGGAAGTCAAAGTGTGAAGGCTTGATATAGCTAGATTCAGGCTCCAATGTGATAGGGATGCAGCTGGGAGCTCTAGTGGTAGTGTTACGTGTACCTCTTGGTAGTATATTCTGTGAGATGCTGTAGGTTGACTAGGTTCTTGGTTCTTCCAAGTAAGCTTATAACCAAAGAGTGGTTGAAGACCATAATAGGCTTAAGTATTTCAAAATCTGGCATGATTCCTTACTCAAAGCCTTGCCTTTTAAAAAAGTTCGTTTGAGACCTCAGGTCTGGGTTCTAACATTTGTTGCCTCTGGAATCTTGTAACATCTTTGTTTCTTCAAGTTTTATATGGAAACTCAAATTCATGTATTTTGATGTTTTATTTATGTATTTATTATTTATGTATGACAGTATTTGATTATTCGAAAATTTTACATGTGTGTAAATTATTGGTGAATTTATGGCTTGTCTCTATGAGGTGCTCACCTTTGCATCTTACCTTATTTCCAGGCTTTAGAATCCCTATTTCTTCACTGTGTCTCATGCATTGTTAAAATTCTGACTAAGAGAAATTAGTAGGATAGAGAACTTATCTCGGACAAAGTTGAGTCCATTGTATTTATGTTTTGCCCCTTTCATCTGACCTTTTTCTTGATAAACTGAATGTAAATGTTCAGGAAATTTCAACGTGGGGTGATGCTGAAAAATTTCTATTTCAACGAAAAGCTGTCCTTGAGTCTACTTTGGCCAAGATACTAGCTAAAAAGAAGGTTAAACGAGTTGAAGACCTGCTATCACAAGACAAGACCCCTGGTTTGTTTTGCCCTTTTAAATATTGGCAATAATGGTGGACTCTTCTTTATATTCTAGGACATGAACTAAAGTTTTCATAGTTAAAGGATGGTTTTAGGCTCTGAGATGTTGCATGTATCAATAGAAGTAACCCTGCTTTATATAAGTTTTTTTTTTTTTTTTTTTTTTTTTTTTTTTTTTTTTTTTTTTTTTTTTTGGGAGATATTCATGCGATATCAGTATATCATGTGTTGAGTCTTTACTTTTAGTATTGTAATCACTCATATGTTCTTACAGTGTCTGCTGATTGGATTCTTTTAGAATACCAGGCTTACCAAATTTCTTTTCAGATGTTCCAAAACCTCGATATGTCCGTGTAAATACTTTGAAACTGGATGTTGACTCTGCTATCAAAGAACTTAGAAAGAAATGCACAGTAAGCTTTCTAGATTTTTTTTCATCCTTTTTCCTCTCCTTTGGTTGGAGGCAGGGGGGATTGGGCATAAGCAATCCTTTGAAGTTTTGAGACATCATATTGATTGTTCTTTAAATTCTTGATAGTTTTGGTGTTTTACGTTATGTGAGTGGCTTCCAAATTGTTCATTTTATAGGTTCAGAAGGATGACTTAGTTCCAGATCTGTTGATTCTTCCACATGGTGTTGATTTGCATGATCATCCACTAGTGACAAGTGGAAGTGTCTTTCTACAAGTATGGATTCTTATCTTTATTTGTTGCTTTAGTATGTTGATAAGTTAGTAAGTTGACAATAACAAACTTCTATTTGATTTTACAATTTGCTAGGGTAAGGCAAGTTCTATGGTAGCAGTTGCCCTTGGGCCTCAACCAGGTTGGCAGGTTAGTTAATAATTTGATTAGCTATCTGTAAATCTGCTTTTGAACTGAGCTGGTGCTGTAATTATTAACTTGTGGAAAAGGAGGCAGTCTTATGTCTGCATACAAACACAATTGTTCTCAGTAAGATAGTAATACTGTAATACCGAGAATGAAAGGTTACATTAGAGTTTCTAACAGCATCCTCTGTGACATTGTCAATATGTTGAGTTTGCAAGGCTTTAAATCTTACAAACCCTTACCGCAGAATCCTTTACTGTTAAGTCTGCGGCTCAGCGGCTCTTGTACACTTCTCTGTTTCCAATGCTTCCTTAGTTCCTTTAGTTGTGTAACCAACCTCATAATAAATTTTATCAGTATTTTGGGATTATTTGTTTATATCTTTATTCTAATTCACAATGTTTCCTAATAGTGTTTTTTTTTTTTTTTTTTTTTTTTTTTTTTTTTTTTGTGACAAAGTATAAGCTAAATTTGTAGGTACCTTTACCCGTTGCAACTTTTGTGTTTACTAGTGTTGATTTGTGTATTATACCTTAATTCTTTATCTGATGTACTCTTGGAAGAGTGCGGTGCAATAAGCCCAAAACAACGTAAAAGAAGCCAAATATGGTAGCAATAAGATAAACAACTGAGTTATATTAGACTTTTGGAGGATGAAATACGTTAAGGGGAAGCAATAATCAAATAAATTCTATATCCAGATTGTTTTTGAGATTAGAAGTAGAGTTAGTCTTTCAAGTGGTATGTATTTAACCTCAAGTTCATGTATTGCCTTTGTCAATGAATCGTTTGGAAGTATCTGGCATGGAGTTCTCGAGAAATAAGGTTGAAGCTGTTGTAAATTTGTTGACAGAAAATGGGTTTAGAATAAGTGTTGGATTTATGAACATAATTTATACTCCTTCATTCATGAATAATCTTCTTGTTAGACTTGGGCATGCATATTAAGGAATTTTGTAGGGTGGGGTGAGAGTGTGAGAGAATGAGAGTTAGTGGAGAAGTCCAATTCACATGGGTTGAAAGAGAAATCTTCATGTTAGGCTTTGGCATGCCTATTAAGGAATTTAGTAGGGTGGGATGAGAGTGTCAGAGAAAGAGATTTAGTGGAGAGGTTCACTTCACATGGAATGAGTAAGAAAGTTATCTACATAAAACATGAAGAATTTTTGTGGACATCCTAGTGTGAATTGATTTATTTGTGATTATTATCTAAGGAAGAAGGGAGTTAGCATTCAGTGATGGGAAACATTTTTGAAGTTGAGAAAAGAGAAAAAGAAAACGAAATCCCCCCTCCCCCTTTTTTTACCCCCCTCTTCCTTTTCAGCTGCCATCTTCAAGTACACTGCCACCCGCCACAAGTATTGACCACTTCCATCATTCACCCATAGAAAAGACCCTCTTTGCCAATGTTAGCTCTTCCAACACCATCATCCCTTTCCCTTTGACATCTCTCTCTTTTATATTCTTCCGTGTTTTGCTCCGTCCCTTTCATATAAATGTTGTAGCCCACCAATCTACCACAATACCAGTGCTTCTGCAGAGCTGACTGATTGAGAAGATAGATGCAGTTCTAAGTGGGGTGAGAGGCAAAGCAATGAAGCATGGTGATGGTGGTTAGAGAACGTTGAGTGGCAGTTTGTGGTGGTAAGAGGGAGCTGGGATAGTCACATACTCACATGGTTATGTAAATGAATATGAAGATGTGTGTAGAGAAAGTAGAGGGGCGTAGTTATAATAATTGTGGTGTTAAAAGAAAGAGGCAATGGTGGGAAGAGGGAAGATGAAAAGGCATTGGATAGGAAGAAATACTCTTTATGATTTCTTTCCTTTTTCTGGTATAATTTGTCATTTTTTAAAGTTTTAATAATTATTTAAAAGGTGTAATAAATGCTAGTGAAATCGTAACTTATTATACAATAATTCATGTTGTTTTTGGTTTATATTTTAACTTAAAACGCGTGTAGCCAATGTATTTGAATATTCCTAGTGGAAAATTTTGTTGCAGGGTGTAATGATAAATGAAAATGTTGGAGATTGGATGCACACTTGCTCAGATATTTTTCCCCTCTGTAGTAACTTGTTGCTATTTTGAAGGTCCTTGATGCTTGCTCTGCTCCAGGGAACAAAACTGCACATCTTGCTGCTCTCATGAAAGGCAAGGGAAAAATTGTGGCATGTGAGTTGAATGCAGATCGGGTTGAACTACTTCAGAAAACTATCAACGTAGCTGGGGCTAAAAGTATCCTTTTTTTTTTTTATCTGTTTTTACAGTTGGCTGCTGTTATTTTGTTTAGGTCTCTCACGTTTGTGTTGGTGTTTGATTATTGTTGTTCGATTTAAAAATCTAAAGTGTGATATGAAAGATAAAATTAATAATTCATTGCATTGCTCTCTTTAATTTTACATTTATGGTTATTTGTAACCTTGACCTAGACAACAGATGTGGAAGTTCATCATGGGAATTTTCTGAACATAGACCCAGAGGATCCAGCCTACTCAAAGGTGAAAGCTCAAATTTGTTTATTGGCATTTCTTAATTGGAATGATTCTGCCTTTTTTCGTCTGAATTGTCGATTCTCAAATATGATGGCAATTGTCTTGTTTCTTGGATGTTAATTATTAGTTATTGCAATAGTGATTCTGTTATGTAGTGGTGAAAGCTCAAATTTGTCAATTGGCATTTCTTAATCTGGAATGATGCTGCCAACGTAAAATTGATGGCAACTGTGCTTGTTTTTTTGTTCTGAATTTATTGTCGATTCTCAAATACGATTTGAATGGCTACTACAGCTCCTATGATCGTGAAAGCTTTTTTAATTTTTTTTTTCTTTTCACGCTTATTGATCATTGCTTTTAAGACCAAGGAACTGGATTACTTGCTGTGAACCTACATATATCACACTATTACTTTTAAACACCTCTTTGTATTTTCTTTTGCATACAGAAGGGTACTTGTGATGGTCATGTTATGTAATTTAAGTACTCTTATTACCTAGAGGCCTAAATACTATCCTTTGTTTCTTCCCTAATGTATATTAAAATGCTTTGTAACAGCTTCGTGCTATACTCTTGGATCCCTCCTGCTCTGGATCAGGGACTGCAGCTGAAAGATTGGATCATTTGCTCCCTTCACATATGAATAGTAAGTGACTAGGCTTTTGATTTTCCTTTTTTATTATTTACAGAAAAGTGATGTACCATCCTCCTATCCTTTAGTAATATAAGATACTTTCATAAGAGAAGAAATGCTAGTGTAATTTAGATGTGATAAGCTTCTGCTTTACTTTTAAAGATGAAGGGTCCAGTAGGTATCATTTTATTGCTGGATGCTTCTTTCTATGAAGTTGTTGCAGCGAATCATCATAAACCCCCGTCTTTTTGCCTATTCTTGGTGGAAGGGTAACATAACTAAAATTGTATATGTCACTTGAGTCAATAATGGATTATGTTGGGAATGTAGACAAATCAAAGTTTACTGGATTAGAGAATGCCACGGAATGATGTTAAGGGAAATCATAAAATATTGGGTTAAAGAATGCTGTGATGTGTGAATCAGGGAATGGTCATGTAGTAACATAGAAATAGAGGGTCAATGTTAGATTCATTCAGATATGTGGAAAGAGAAAGTTTCACTCGAGAGAGCAGTCAGAGCACCCACCACTCAAATGTTGATTAGGCTGTAAATGGCGATTCACCCTTGTTTCATCAATACAGTCTTATCCCATTGCTTTTCCTTCCCCCAATTCAATCTCGTTTTATTTCCTCATCTTCTTAATTTCTGTTTAATTTCCTCTTGTTACTTTTAACGTTCCGAGTCAGCATTGCTAAGGATCAATCTGATTCTTGGCAATTGTCTCCTTAGGTGGTTATGACATATCAATCTCTCTGTGTAAGCAGTGTGTTAAATTTCTGTCTCCAGGATTATCCACTTATTGTATATCGTTCTAAATTCCAGATCTCTCAGCACCTTGTCTTTTTGTAAATATTTTATTTGAAATTAATAAAGATGAAGGCATGTATGTGGTTATATATACTGGATCCAAATTAACTTGCCAGAAAACAATGTAGAATTTTATTACTTCATACTTAATTGTTACTACTATGCCAGTTCAAGGTTAACATTGGTGAGGGAATCATTGGCCAAATTAAGTAATGTTGCATTATTTTGCACCTTGTCAAAAAAGGTCACGTTGTGATTAAAAGAAAGCAGAGGGAGTCAATGTCATTAATGCATTGGAAATGGTGCCAAACCCTCTGCAAACGTCATTAACATCCCAATAATTTTACCTAGCCACTTTTCCCCCTTTTCTCCATCTGCATCTCTCTCAAGTTTTAACCTGCCTTCTATAATGGGTTGCTGATGAGAGGGTTGGATTGTTGACAACCGATGTGGTTCAGTCTATTATTGGTGAACTTAGTGTATCTTGATGTTATTCTGGGAGGACAGGGTTCTGATTTTTAAAAAAATATTTTCATCATACTGTAAAGCGTGGCCAGCTACAAACATGGTGATATTATTTGCTCTAATCCTTGAAATGAACACAAAGGGAACATACAATGAAATAAATAATATTGTTGTCATCATCCTTGTATAACCTCAATCAGTGTGGTGCTCTAGTTTTAATGCACTGTCTTAACATCTACATGATCATCATTCTAGCTTGACCTCCAGGTTCCACTATTCCAGACCGACATGAATCATGTTAATGTGTGTGGTCAGTTTATTTTGGTAATTGAAAAAGAATTACTAAGTATATCATATCAGCCTGTATGCATGAAATTTAATGAGCTTAATAAAAGACAATTTCTGTTTTGACTCATCTTTTGAAATTGTTGCTGGGTAGATAAAGCTGGTGTCTCTGATGTAATCCGGCTGACGAACCTTTCAGCTTTTCAGAAGAAGGCTCTAAAGCATGCATTATCTTGTAAGAATACCGTATCACTTCATTTTGGTTTTTCACTACTTGAATAATTTTTTTTACGGATTCCCGTAACTTCTTGGTTTTTCAGAAGCAGTTTGTGTATAATGGGGAGATATTATCCACCTTATAATAATTCTTGCTCTAATTTGCAGTCCCAACAGTTGAGAGGATTGTTTACAGTACATGTTCTATCCACCAACTTGAAAATGAAGATGTTATAAAATCAGTCTTACCCACAGCTTTAAAGAATGGTTTTGAGCTGGCAACGCCCTTCCCCCAATGGTCTCGTCGAGGTTTGCCAGTCTTTGAAGGATGTAAGTGCTGATAAGACAGAAGTACTTTCTATCTCATGTACTGTATATATCATCTGCTGACTTGCTGTTATTTAAAAACTTCTTAATTTTGTTTTCTTATGGGAATAGAACTTGTAGTACTGTAATCTGTATTACTTTACCTAAATGAGGTGAGAGTTTAAAGTGGACTTGGCTTGGGAGATATGCTTAATGCTCGAGATGAGTATAAGCTGGTAAGATTACAATTTAGAGACTGTTGGGACTTTGGAGGCTGGTCTTAAGATCTTGTGGGGACCCGTAAAGACTGATGCTGCTTATGGTTACATAATTCACAAAGAGCCTAGCTCACACATGTATCGTTATGCACTATGTACTTCCTGGGGACAAATGATAATTTTTCTTCACTTCACTAGAGAAAGGTCAAATCAAAAAGTACTTGTGCACAAATCAGAGGGTTGGGAGGGAGGGTGATAAGACATAAGAGCACCAAGATTTTATCATTCGATATTCGATGCTTTTAATCCCTGATGTAGTCTGGATTAACCAGTACTGCCTCTATCCCCAAAGAGTTTTCCTTTTTTTTTTTAACCCCGCTATCTCCAAGACCCATTTGTTTTCCTTCGGTACCCATAATTATATAAAATATTCCCCCTTTGTTCCTAAATATTGGTCATATTTCTATTTTGGATTCTTTATAGAGTGATATACAATCATTTGTGGGTTGGGGCTTATTTAGGGATGGTAGAAGTGTAAAATGGGATTTTTTTTTTTTTTTTTTTTGAAGTGACATTTAATCAGTTGTGGCTTATTTAGGGATTGTAGAAGTGTAAAATGTTGATTTTTTGAAGATGCACATTGAAATGAATTTAACAAGATCCAAATGATTATGTTTATTCTCATATGTCAAAGTGTAAAATTATGGTCTAAGTTTATCAACTTTTACTTAGAAATTGAAGATGGATAATCTGTTAGGAAATATTGGAGATACACTTTTTTTTTCACACATACAGTAAATTATAAAAATAATCTTCACTTGGCTTCATTTTCTGCTCAGAAATGTGGCAGTGCTGGAGTAGCTCATTGCTAGAAGGGTAGCACCTTAGCATGTCCTACATCATATGCTGCGGACCAATCTATATCACTATGTGGAGTTACTTGATCGATACTTAGCCAAGGATTACCAGATGCCAGGATGGTACGTGGGAATGGGAATTTGAGTAGTGTGATGGAGATGTCTTGCATAGGAATAGGAATAGTTTGGGAAGATAGTTCAAGTACCAGTAGTAATATTTGCTTCATGTTATCCACTTCTTTTTGCCCTTGATGATACTTATCTGACTATCTGTGAGGAATCAGGTAAAACACCCCCATTGCCTTGAGGTTTATGTTTGATTAACGCCTTTATCTTGTATCGCAGCTGAACACGTGCTTCGGATGGATCCTGTTGAGGACAAAGAAGGCTTCTTCATTGCTTTGTTTGTGAGGAAACAAGAAGAATGCAAACCAAACCAGTTAAGAAATCTAAAGAAACGAAAACCTGAAATGCCCGTGCCTTTCACCAGGCTTTCAAAGATGTGGCTTCTCTCTCTGATGTTGTCATCGCCACATGGAGTTGGCTGTTGCGCTGGTGGTGGCTGTTGTCCCGGAGAAGAATCTGTTTGTCTCCCTACAAGTTAAACAACTTGAAAATTTTGTTTTTAATTGAACCATTCCCTTTAATTTTATTCCATGTTTCTTAATTTAGACATTTGTCTCGTTGTCTCTTAGATTTACATAGTTGCTAGATCATCTGAATTTTTCGTCTAGAGGTTCATGATTATTTGATAAGCAATTAAGATCTCTTCTCAGAATGGCAAAACATTATCATGAGAAAATCAACCTTTTTGAGCAAGCTTGAACCCCATGACATTGGATTGAAAGATTAATCAGACAAAAATTAAGAAGGCAATATTAACTTTTTCAAATTAAATTTGTAAGGTCGATGACATGGCAATATTTGCCAAATTGCTAGCTCAACAAGTCGTTATCTAAAGTGACGGTTTAAGGTTATTCTTCCATTTAAGGTTATAGCGCTTTAATTTATTTTTTTTAATTAATTATATTTTACATCTGTAGTACTATATAAAGAGAAAGAACCTTTTAATTGACAATTTTTGCTTTTTCTAAAATACCCTTCTATATTTAAAAATTACATTTTTACTAAAAATAAATACAATTAAGAATAAAACCTGTCCTATGAAAAAAAAAACATTTATAAAAAAAAAAATCCATCTGGTAAAAAAAACAAAGAATTGAATTTGATTGATTACTTATATGCATAGTAATGAATCTTTTTTTTTTTGTGAGGAATGAATCTCTTAGCTCGTATAATTTAAATCATCCCTTTAATTCATCAATATTACTATTTAAAAAAAAAAAAAAAACTGATTTTAGTCTATTATATAGAGAATTTTTTGTTAAAGTTTTTTTTTTTAGCCAGATTAGTTTATTGTATTAGAAAATAAAAGTCAAAGAAAATACTAAACTAAACAAAAAATAGACAATGTACTGGTCTACGGAGTAAGAAAAAAACAAGATAATTTCATTTTCATAATTTCATTCCAACATTACATCATCATTCCCATCCATTACATCACACATAGAAAAAAAGCTCACACAATCCTACACACACCACGACTCTCACCCTCACCAAAAAAAAAAAAAAAAACATTAGCATTCTAATTACCACCACTTCACCACTAATCAAGACTAATTATTCATAGATAATGAAGAAAACCCATAATTAAGCAACCTTAACCTCAATAGTCTTAGGCTTCTTAGGTTCAGGAGGAGGCAACTTCTCAACAGAAACAGTCAACACACCATCTTGACAAACAGCACTTATCTTCTCCATATTTGCATTTTCTGGCAACACAAATTTCCTCATAAACTTCCCAATTCTCCTCTCCATTCTCAAATACTTCACCCCATCTTTTTCCTCTTCCCTCTTTCGCTCTCCACTGATCACCAGCACGTTGTCGTCCTCCACCTGAACTTTAATATCTCCGCTCTTTAACCCCGGCATATCGATGATGAACTTGTATGAATTTGGGTACTCCTTGACGTCAGCTGGGGTTCGCGCCATCGCACGCGCGTCACGGACGTAGGCGTTTGATGGGGCGGTTGACCCTGTGGTTGATTTGTCGGTTGCCGAGGGGGTTGTGAAGTCGTCTGCGTCGAGGAAATGTGAGAGGGCGTGGATGATGGGGGTGTCTAAGCCTGTGAAGCGGAAATCCATCTTTCTTTTTCTTGGGAGCTGAATTTTGGTTGATTTTTGAAGTGGGTTTTTTGTTTTTTTTTTTATGTGATTGCAAAGTGTTTGTGAAAATGCTTGAGTGAATTTTTGCTGATGAATTAGAAGTTTGAAGGGGGGAGTTTATATAGGGTGTAGAGAGAAGTTTCTAGAGAGAGAATGGAAGAGTTTGATATATTTCTGGGGTGTTCTTGAATGTTGGTTGTTGTGTGAGTTTCACGTGGCATTGATTATTGAAAAGTGTCGAGAAGGTGGTAGAATGTTATGGATATAGTGTCAAAGTTTAAAGTTGGGGTTTACTAAATATGGAATTTTCAGATAATTTTAGAACTTACTAGAACAATGGAGAAAAAGATAGGAAATGTACTGACCCATGTAGGCCATGGACCATGGACCGAATTGCAATAATCTTTGAAAACTTAAAATCAAATTGCAACTGGGGGATCAAACTAATACAACCTAAATTGGATCAATTATCGAGCATTAATCACATTGATCTACGCATCGCCGTGTTTTAGTCATGAATTTTTAAATTTGTGCAATTTTAAAAATTGTGTTTGATGCTTATATGCAGCCCTTAAGATTACACTTTTTTTTTTTTAAATGCAATTATGTCTGATAATTTATAGCTTATTTGATTCCAACTAATGTGAATTCAAACTGCCTTAAGTAGAGGGAAATTAAGACTCTCTCAACTAATGTTTATGACTTCCCCAAGTCTCGAACTTGAGATCTGGGTTAAACTAACCTTGATGAAATTTTTTTATCAATGTACTAGTATACAATTACTCGCTCATCATTAAAGGAGAAAGAATCATTATAGAGTTTTATGCATAGTATTTAACTAAAAATTGATTTAAATACCAATCTAATATATATAAATAAAGTAGGCATTTTTGGAGAGCATTGGGAGCGCCACATAAGCGAAGGTATATTTTCGACCAATTAAAAATTAGATTTCTATTTTATTTTAGAATTAAAAAAATTACTCGCCACCTAAACAAAAGTGACGAATGAAATTTTAAATTTTTTCCACGTAGGTAAAAACGACGAATAGTAATTTATTAGGATTTTAATTATTTAAGAACACTAAATTTATCATTTTTATTTGTTACAAAACTAAAAATTATCTTTAGATATTAGGATTTATATTATTTAAAAAACTAAAATTATATTTTGATATTTAAAAAATATAAATTATCATTTGATGTTAATGGTTTTATGTAAATATCTGATAATATGATACTTTCATACAAAATTTTAAAACTTATAATGCAAGAAAAAAATTAAGAGATCACCAAAAAAATATTGCATCACACGCCACATAAGCAAAAGTAATATTTCGACCAATGAAAAATTAGATTTATATATTAATTTAGAATTTTAATTTTCAGTCGCCATTTAAGAAAAAATAAACAGATGAAATTTGAGAATTGAAAACAAAAAATAGTAATTTAAGATTTAAATTATGAAAAAAACAAAAATTATCTTTTATATTATCTTTTACATTAGGATTTATATTATTTTAACAAATAATTAGAAATTAAAAAATATATTTTGATTTAATGATTTTATCTAACTATCCGATGAATGAGATAATATTTATCTCAATTTATAAATTCAAGTTCTATATACGTAAAATTTGAATAAGAATAATTTAAAACTTAACAAAATATTTTACCTTAAATTAATGTTAAAATAATAGAATAGAAAATAAAAACAAAAAAATATTAAGAAATTACAAAAAATATACAAAATGAAATAATTAAAAACGTGCATCGCACGGGCTTACATTCATAGTAATGATGTAAAAATCAGCAACAAAGCTGACCAAATAGCAACATTCATAATAAATTTTTTAATTTTAAAACCACAAAAAAGATGGAAAATATTATTAGCACCAAAAAAAGTTCAAATAGATTTATTTTACTAAAAAAATGATTTCACCACCCTTTAACAGTATTTTTTCAACCAATTAAAAATTAGATTTCTATTTTATTTTAGAATTAAAAAAATCACTCGCCACCTAAACAAAAGTGGCGAATGAAATTTTAAATAAAAACGACGAACAGTAATTTATTAGGATTTTATTTATTTAAGAACACTAAATATTATCATTTTTATTTGTTCCAAAACTAAAAATTATCTTTAGATATTAGGATTTATATTATTTAAAAAACTAAAAATTATATTTTGATATTTAAAAAATATAAATTATCATTTGATGTTAATGGTTTTATGTAAATATCTGATGATATGATACTTTCATACAAAATTTTAAATTTATAATGCAAGAAAAAAAATTAAGAGATCACCAAAAAAATATTTATATACAAAATGTATATAAAAATTTGTGCATCGCACGCCACATAAGCAAAAGTAATATTTCGACCAATGAAAATTTAGATTTATATATTAATTTAGAATTTTAATATTCAGTCACCATTTAAGAAAAAATTAACTAATGAAATTTGAGAATTGAAAACAAAAAATAGTAATTTAAGATTTAAATTATGAAAAAAAACAAAAATTATCTTTATAAATTTATTTATTTATTTATAAATTAATATTTATAAAGATGAATGAGGTAATATTTATTTCAATTTATAAATTCAAGCTCTATATATGTAAAATTTGAATAAGAATAATTTAAAACTTAACAAAATATTTTACCTTAAATTAATGTTAAAATAATATAATAGAAAATAAAACTAAAAAAAAATAAGAAATTACAAAAAAAATATACAAAATGAAATATTTAAAAACCGTGCATCGCACAGGCTTACATCTAGTTTCTATAGGATTTTGGACCTGAAATAAAATAAACTACTTCGTATATTTTTTGACTTAGAGAGTGGGCGATTCTCTCTAGTTTGGTCTGAGGTTAATCGAGTCTAATTTTTTACACCAAACTGATTATTGATTGATGCTATTAACGTCCAATACAATAAAAGGTTAAATTTGGCATTATTCTGTTTACTTTGAAAATATTTATTCTATTTTGACAATTTTTACTTGTATAGTACTTCCTTTGTTCTTTTTAGGCAATAGGGGGATTAATATAATTAATAGCTTACTAGTCTTGTGTAATGCACGTTAATATGAATTAAATATTTTTATTTGTAATTTAAATACTTGTTATAGCAAATGGATGAGGAAGCTAAGTAGCATGTGTTTAGTTATGATATCAACTTTTAATTTAGAATAGTTATAAGTGCTTCCCAAAATACAATTACATAAACAAGTGAAATATATAATTTATTGATATATTGCAGAATAAGGGATTGTTCTCTTCAGATTATTTCCAGTTCAATTCCAATAAGTTTAGTTAAGTTCAATTTAGTTCTTAATTTCCTTCTCTCATAAAATATTCAGTTCAGTTCAGCTCCAATTAGTTCAGTTCAGTCCACTTCAGTCAATCAGAATAAGCCCTAATTGTCAAATTAGTGGATTAAAAGTGCAAAACCATGAATTAATAGAGAAAACACAAGGTGTATAATATATACCATCAAACCATGGTTGAAACTTGATTAGTGCAACATACTACAAAGTTTAGTTGACAAAAACTCAAATCCAAATGAACACAAGAACAACATACATTATTTGTGACTTTAAAGTTACAACAAACTCCTCATCTTCCATAAAAAAAGCATTCATCAAACATAATTTTTCAAATTAATACATCTTAATTAATTAAGCACCTTTAACTTCAATAGTCTTAGGAACCTTAGGCTTAGGAGGAGGCACCTTCTCAACAGTAACAGTCAACACACCATCTTGACAAACTGCACTAATTTTCTCCAAATTTGCATTTTCAGGCAACTCAAACTTCCTCATAAACTTCCCAATTCTTCTTTCCATCTTTACATACTTCACTCCTTCCTTCTCATCCTTCTCTTTGTCCCTCCTCCTCTCGCCGCTCACCACGAGCACGTTGTCATCCTCTAACTGCACCGTTACCTCTGAGGGCTTAACCCCGGGCATGTCAACAATGTACTGGTATGCATTAGGTAGGTCTTTGATGTCGGCTGGTGTACGTGCCATGGCCTTGGTGTCACGTACGTAGACTCGAGAAGGGTTGTTGGGTTGTTGCTTGGTGTCGGATACTTCATCTGTGAATTGGTCTAGCATGTCTTGGATGTTGTCGAGGAAGATGTTGTCGACGAATCCAGGAAATCTCACGTCCATTTTGCTTCTTTTTGTTGTTGTAAAAGAATTAGACTAAACAAAGATGAATGTAACTATATTTGTAAGAGAGTTTTGTTGTTTGTTGTGTTTTTTTTTTTGGTTTGTTTGAAGGGAGTTTTGGGTTTTGGTTTTATAAGAGGGAAAAGAGAAAATTTTGAGAGAGTTCTAGTGATGTTTGGTGAGTAAAATGGAAGCAATGTTTCGAGAAAATGATTTATTTATTTAACTTCTAGAATTGGTTTTTTAAAAAAGGAAGAAATTCTCGAATGATCAAGCAAAACATGTACAGTTTTTTAATTGATTGTTTATTTTTAACAAGAAGAAATTCTTATTATTGTAAATGAGGAACAATCAATCAATAAAGTAAAAGAATTAAGGCACACATATTGGTATTGGCCTCACAAATCAAATTTGAACGTAATTAGTTGTTACAATAATGGTAAAAGGTGACAACTTTTTCCGAACATTCATTAGTAATGTCGTAATCGACTTTTTTTGTGAACCAAGTGAAAGATTATAAATTCAGAGTAATTCATAAACTGACAAGAACCTGCTAGTTCTGGAACTATTTCGCATTCTTTGGTCAATTGTATCATTTCTTCTAAGAAGTTACAAATAAAATTGATGTAATTGTCTAAAACAAATGAACACCAAATACATTTAACAATGAAATTATAAGAAAAACTCTATATAATATCCTAGATAATTTAAATGAACTAATTTACAAACTTTGATTTATTAGTAGCAGGAGGAGCAGCAGCCGCTGTTGCAGCAACTGCAATGGGGCTCCTAACAAAGTGATTTCCATCTGACCATATCAACTCTCCGAAAACGTACCCTGCAGGCAAGCCACCAGCTTGAGCTTTTAAGGTCACCTTATAACTCTTCTCTTCTCCAGCTTTCGTGAACTGCAAAGACTTCGGTTCCACAGTGACCTCAACGCCGTTTGGTTGGGTCACACGAGCTTCATAAGTCGAGGCCTCTGCCACATTCTTAACTGTTCGAGTGACAGTGACTGAGCCAGAAAGTTTAGGCACTGTGATTGAAGGGTAGTTGAAGTTCAATAGGCCACTACTTGTAGTGTTTGATGCTTGACATTTGTTGGAAGGATCGAAGGACTGGAGCATGGTTTGGTTATAGCCAAGAGAGCAAAGGAACTCTAAATAATCGCGTGCGGTTAAGTCATAGACTAGCCCTGGATCCATGGCACGGTTTGGTCTAACATGTCCTGCTCCATAGGCAAATGGGTCGGCTGTAGCGAAAGATGCATCCAGCATTGGCTTCTCTGTGTTATCTCTGACTCTAGCTGCAACAACATAAAATGTAAAAGTCATATATTATTTAGATTTTGTCTAGAAATGTTTCATATGCTAATGACTTCAATTTGAACAATAAGTAGATCAGAAAAAGAGTTGCAGGGCTACCAGTAGTCATTATAGCAGATCTTATTGCGGCAGGGCTCCATGTAGGGTACAGAGTCTTGAGAAGGCCAGCAACCCCAGATATATGAGGGCAAGACATAGAAGTACCCGAGTCTAACATAAAGGAAACTCTACGCTTATCCCATGGTTCTTCTGTTGGACTTACTGCTCCAGAGTATGCAGCTAAGATATTCACTCCTGGTGCTGTGATATCAGGCTGCAGAGCACAAGAACATCATTACTTGACTTGAAATTGAAGTTCAATTTATAAAAAAAAAAAACTCGTGTCATTGTTACTTTGTTAGACATTAATACTCGAGTCCAAGTAACATATAACCAAACATAAAAGCCGAGGAATTAAACTTATGCATAGGTCCAATTTCAAGCAGACTGAAGATTTAAAGTGCCACAACTTACTTTTAAAATCTCAGGTGTAACAGGATTTGGACCTCTGGATGAAAATGCAGCCATATAAGGAGCTGGGTTGGTACCTAGGAAAACTGCTGGATGAGTGATGTAACCATAAGGTTCACTGTCAACAAAATTTTCATTCCAGATTAACAAAAGAAATAAATTCAACGATTTTAAGAAATATAAGCAAAAAGAAATATATGAACAAACTGAACAATATTTATACACATACGCCGTGGAATTGATATAGGCCAGAACAGCAGCCCCATCTGTATAGGTTAGTTGTGTTGCTGGAAGGACATGAAGGTCAGCTATTATCTCATTGCCGCTATCTTTGTCGTTGCAAAGGATCATCCCTACAGCTCCTGCAAGTAATGCTTGCACACCTTTCTCCACTCTTGCATTACCACCACGAAGACATGCCACGATTTTCCCCTGTGCTTTAGTTTTATCCAATGTGCCTGCCAGGCACAACATACTGCAGAAACAGACTAATATCAGGTTTGCAACATATCACAGTCAGAACTAGCTTTGATGGTAAAGAAAGGGATTAAATTACGCGTCTGCAGCAGATGCATCGGCAGTTTTCGCCTGAGCACCAGATATGAGTGGATAAAGCTTGTCATCTGCCAAAGGTTTTGATAAGCTCGAACCCTGAACACAGCATAAAACTTTCAGATTAACAGACAATCTTCTAAGGTCATAAGACTGTTAGATGCAGACTGATACCTTAAATCTCTGCCCATTTCGAAGCTCAGCAAAAGCTTGAAACTCCCTATCCATAGTACTTGCACCAACAGTAACAATCCATGGTGCAACATTCGCAACAGATGCCACTTCAGGTCCAGAATTGCCAGCAGAACACACCACGACGATACCACTTTGAATAGCATGAAAGGATCCAATGGCGATTGCATCACTAAAATAATCTCCAGCTTCTCCACCAACCGAGATAGACAGGACATCAACACCATCATGAATAGCCATATCAAAGCCTGCTAGTAAATCAGCATCGAAGCAGTTACCCCAGCAGATCTTGTAAGCAGCTACTCGCGCCTTTGGTGATCCACCTTTAGCTGTTCCGTTGACTAATCCTAACACAGATGCTCCTGGAACAAAGTTGCCACCAGCAGTTGACAGTGTGTGAGTTCCGTGGCCAGCGACATCACGTGGAGAGCTTATTGCTTCCGTGGCATTTCCACCAGCAGCAATGAATCCTCTGTTGAAGTACCTTGCTCCAATAAGCTTCCTACAAGATGATCAATAATACGCAATTAGTACTTCATAGGTCCTAACCCTTAGAGGAGAATATTTTGCGTGTATTTTCTATCAAAATTTGTACAATCATAGAAATGTAACAAACCTATTGCAACGGACACCGCCATTCTGACTGTCACAACCACCTTTCCATCTGGAAGGAACAGGTCCATATCCTTCATCACTAAAGCTCTTTGATTCAGGCCAAACCCCTATTCATCATTTAGTAAGTTTGTAAGAAAACTCATGAAATTCTTTTCAACCATAATTTGATGTTACAATGTGCTTCAAATTTTATGACATGATTTTAAATTTATAATTGTAACAGTTGTAGTTTCATGCATGGTACAATGTTCATATGTTACAATGTTCTTTTTTGTCAACCCATAAATTTGGGTCATTGACTATTGGTATATTTAACAATCAACACATTGAAAACTAAACCAAAAATATTTATATTATACTCGTAACATTTAACACTTTTTAATATTTATGTTCCTACACACTAAGACGAATCAAATAACATCTCAATTGTATGTGTAGCTTTTACCCGATAGAATGAATGATAAACACAAATGAGTTTAAGGAAATACCGGTGTCAAGGTTAGCAATGATAGTATCTTCCCCAAATCTAGCCTTTTTCCACGCTGAGTCCGAAGGAATTACACCATTGTTTTCAAGCAACATAAAATCCCAAGACCTTGTTGTTTGTAATTTCCTCGCTCTATTTGGGAACACAGAAACAACTCCTGGGTGTTCTGATTCATTTTCAAAACAACAAAATTAATTAAACCAATGTTAATCTTAAAAATTAAACATATTATAACCTTATTACTTTTTAACTTGCTTGTCAAAATTATTTATTCTTTGTTATCACATAATAAAATGAAGCTCAATATAAAACGTTGTATACTAGTATGTATGTTTAAGTTTTACTAGAAATGTAGGAAAATTTATCATTGAGAATTTGTGATACATTTCTCATTTTAATTGTATGATTGTGTTTCGGAAAATAAAGGAAAGCATTAAGTATTCTTCACCCTAATGAATTTAAATCATAATATGTAAAGTATTAGTAGTAGAATAATACGAAGTACTCTTAATAAGTTTAAGATAATGTATAGAAAGTCTATTATTCTATCCTACGCATATTTCTATTTCAAGATGCTATGTTGTTATTGTATAAATATAGTCATGCTATGTTGTAAACATTTCACAATGCTCCATTTTACCCTAAACTTGTTAAGTTTCAAGGTTTTGTAAACATTGTATATGTATGATTATGTTTTGTAATTATATTACTACCTCCGTTAATTATTATGTGCAACTTTGGGATATTTTGTATCTCACAAATAATACCCCAAAGTTGCACATAATAATTAACGGAGATAGTAGATGAATTGAATATGATAATCAACATTAATTCGTAATCTCTACAGTAGTGAAAATAAATACTTCATCTGTTCCATACTATACTTTTGATTGCATATTCAGTACACATTTTTGAGCATTAAGAATTATCAATGTGAGATGCATGAACCTAGCATGACTCAATTGTAATTTAGGCTATTTATTAAAAATGAAATTAAAAATTAGATTGAAGCATGAAAAAATCAAATTATTACTTGCAATCTCTGCTGCTTGCTCGTCATCAAGAATTGCCGCAAAACCATTAATATTCATTTGGTATGAGTAAAATATTGCTTCCTTTGCCTTGTCTTGACTATATATCACATTTTTTTTCAATTAAAAAAAAAATACAATATTTTGGTAATCCAATAAATTAAAATCAAAGCACAATTAAGTTATAATTTAATATAGCATTTTTGTAATCCAAAGACAAAACAGTATATAAAATCAAATTATACAATTATTATAAATTACGAGTAATATTTATGATCGATTAATTACCTTCCAAC